TTCATAGGATACAGACACTCTGCATGACATAATGTCGCAGGCTACGGGAAACGATATGGATAAGGATCGGTCTTCAGATTTACTGATGGACTCATGCAGAAAGAAACGGATAGGTAGAGAGATCTCGAAGAAAAAACGGACTCCGGGGGCCGGGGCCGAAGTGCGTGAGCCCAGCTGAACCTACTGCCTGCGAATGTTTGTGTTCATGGCAGCAGTAGCGGACGGGCTTGGCCCTAAACGCCGCAGTCTGTTTGCAAGGCCGATAGGGGCAGTACTGCACAATTGTGGTCAACGTTAGGGGACTTTGCATTGAAGGGGGCAACATTGATTTGGGGTCGAATGATCACTTGCTTCAGAGTCTGCGCTAAGGCGTCTTTATCAGGTTCAGTCAGCCATGGGGAGCCCTTATCACGCTGCAACTACAATCGGTTGTTGTTATTTTTAAGGTTTTATACTTAGCGTTGATGCTGCTTCGAATCTACCAATATTTTAAAGGGACTTCATCGATTTAGAGTCGAATGGTCCCCCGTTCCACCGCCCGAGCTGAGATACGTTCATTGGGTCCAATCATCTATATTTATCGTCCTGCACTCAGTTCGCGCTGAAATTGCTTTGGCTGTACATATACTGTAATTGTGCAGCAAAAGCTATCAAGCTTTGCGTAAAGGAAATAGATGGCTTACGAATTTGAATCTCAACAAGATTCTTTTTAGTTAGTCAGCTTCTTTTGAAATACTACTAAATATCTACTATAAATGCACACGGGGCTGTGTGATTCGGTTGATGTTCCTTTAAAGCTTTAATTTGAATCGCCTGAAGTACGGGTAGACACCCTCACTCTCTGTGCGCTTCTTGTCTCCCAGCGTCAAAGCTTAAGTACTGGTAGCGTTTCCCTAATACGGTTTTCGTTTCTCCATTGGAACGGATAGCATGAAGCAAGTCTGCACCGCGTGAATGAGACATTATATTTAAGAAAACTGAGTCTAGGGTGGATGAATTGAAAGGGATATTTAGCAGGAAATCAATGCACGGATTGTTGTCCACGCTGAACCCTGTATTTCTAACACACCTCACGGAAAAGTTTTACTAGAACTCGACTGTAATTCATTGAGTGAAAGTTAGATTTGCGGCGCGAGTCAGGCATGTTTTTACGAACAAAATAATGCTACTCACACATCTATATTATTTTGATTATACAATAATATTAATAACCTGAGTGGTACTTATTGCATATAACACGAGTAGAACCAAGGTATTGGGATTTCATTATGAAGCATCTTTTCGTGCGGATAACTGGTTGCAAAACCTGTAAGCATGCCTCGGTTATGAAATTATCTGGGCCTTCAAAGGAAAATGAAAACAGCCTAAAGGCACTGCTGAAGGAAAACGGCCGACCCACAACTACAGAGATATATCGCTACTTGGATTTGTCACGAGTAACAAGAGGCTATGCTCCTACACTCATATAAAGACGAGAAAGAATTATTTTACACGGCACGCCTAGGTTTAGACCTAAACCAGATCTCGATCTAAAAAAAACATGACTTGGGTTCGGTAAATGACCAAAACAACAAGGCGGCCTACAAGGAGATCTATGTGACTCAGTTACATCCAGGAAACGAGGCTGTTCAATGAAAAGCATTATATAGATAAGGCAAGGTAATCGTTGTCATTCCATTTTCAATACAAGGCCAAACTATACGCAGCGAAACTAATTCGAACTGCTCTGGCGGGGCTGTTGGAGCATGCTCTTGTGTCAGCCATGTTTTTCGGCTTGCGAACGGATTATCACCTTTTCGGACTACTAGCGGGGGGTGCTCATAACGGTACATTTGACAATGTAGAAAGTCTCGAAATCTAACTGACGATAGTTGTATATCACCCTAATATTTCTACTTCGTCGTAGAAACCAGAGTAAACCAAATCAACAATCGATTATCCTTTGATGTCTGCCCTGATTTTTTGGATGTATCACTATGTTATTATCGATCTGTATAATATTTCTGGTTAAGTTGGACTAAAATGAGTGTAATAAGCTGAGTGTCACATGCTTTGCCCGTAGTCGGCGTGCATGCTTTGTATGTAATGTGTATGCATGTGGAACGGAAGAACAGCCGATGTGCATTAAGCACAAAGCATCACGTAAGGTTTGATTGTAGCATTTGTTAGTCCATTAGAGTCTCGTACTAATTTGATTAATGTACGTTTTTTCACTTGTGGCTCGGTGTTTCCTCTCCCAGTAGGTCCTGTGGATAATTATACGTAACAAATATACACGATGAATTGCGTGCAACGCTGATACGTGATAAATGTACAGGATATAATCAGGGTTTAATATGATGATACCGTTGTATTCATTCTTAACAATGGTTTTATTATAAATTGACACTGTCGTTGCTGTCTTTTCATTGAAAACTGCATACTATATATGTTACGTAGTACATCTTTGATCTGATGTCCAATTTATGTATTACCACCGATGATATCTGTCCCTCAATTCTGACAACGGGGTCATCCCGGATTTACGCGTGTCTGTTAGATGTCGGACCGGCTGGCTCAAACGTCGCTAAAATTCGATTCACGCACGCCTCGAGAACATAATCAACACCACGCGAGGCTTCTCGAATATAGAAAACATTTTCTACGATCTTCCCTTCCGAATGTGTGGTTGTATGCTGATTAAAACAGAGACATTCTACGATATCCAATCGAGACGAAGCGATACTCATGGAAACTATTGCATTGTCTGCGTTAAGTGTAAGGCCTGATGGATAATTGAACGCAAAATCTCATTGTTGTGCATCGCGAGTAAGTTGGTTTGGTCCTCGCTGTCCTATTCTAGGTGTATAGAGTTTTCAGCCCCTTTGATTAGGTTTGACGACACTGTATCCACCTACTGCAGGAAGATATTAATGCTGGCGAGCCAATATGCACCAGGCCTGGTCAAGCATCACGGCATCGATGTTTTTTCCCTCTAAAAAAATATATGTTATAGTAAGTCTAAAAAATAGGACCAAGCGGAATTATGGTGGCACTTGGTCAACTCAGGACTGGGCAGTTTGAATATAAGGACAAAAGGAAGAATACAAAAAAATCTAGTAACTGTTGAATTCCACAGGATTTCTATTATAACCTACATCGAATAATTATTAATGAATATATCACAGCAGATACCTTACGATTTCGAGTGTTTCTAGTTACTTGCAAATGATTCATTAGACCGAGGAAGTGAGAGCCGCTTGTACTTCGAGTTAGGAACAATAGACCTTAAGCGGTACTCACATCTCAAAAAAATCATGCGCGCTAAACGCGTGTTCTCGTGGTAGCTTGGCAATTAATATTTTTGCCTGCTAATCGTAGGGATGCGGTGTGGTGTTGGTTCGAACCCGGACATTGACATGCTTTGTCCCGTGGTGCGACCCAGCAATGTAAGTGAATGGCTAACTGGGCGTAAAATTAGTAAAATAAGTAGAGGCGTTGAGTGTAAGTAAACTGTAAGTAAAAAATAAATTTGTGTAGAACGCAATGTACCTTGGGGCTACAGGGTTTTTTCATTTGTAAAAAAAAATATATATATACTATACAAATTAAAAAACAAAAGATTTCACTATAAACCATTAGATTAGTACCTAACCATTACTAATGGAACACAAAAACATAATCGGAGCATAACTTCAAAATTAATAACATGTTACTATAAATAAAGAAAAACAGTATTTGCCTACCCTCAGAACGAATAAGCAATGCATTATCTACGACAAGGTTATCGCAGACGGAAAACGTTTAACCAATATAATTGTCAGAAAAGGAAGTAATAAACTAGAGCAATATATAAATTAATTGAAACTTTCAAGGCCAAATCATTCAGAATAACATCTTCTATTAATTGTCCGCCAGTTTTCCTCTATATTTGTACCCTAACAAATACCTACTCCACACAGCACCGTATAGTATTTATCACGAGGCAAGGTACTCTAGTCGGACGTAGAAGTTGATCAGATCGCACAATAGATTTCCTGCGATCAGTCTCCATCTACCCGTACATCACACACAGTGTAATGTTGACCAATTTCTTTACCTGCTAACGATTACTGCAATGACTAAGCAAATAATCCTCATCAGAGATCGTAATGCGTTTTACCGTAACAGAAGAAAAAAGCAAATTTCGCAGTTAGTTTTAAATAAAATGTGTCTTAGTGGTATGTTTAGGACAAGCAATAACGCAGCAGCATTAGCAGCAATCCGGCCCGGACGATTTGGTTCTTTTTTCTTGGATGACAAGGTATGGCCAAAAGAGGCGCGGAATAGATCATTGTTTGTAAGATGGAAAACAAGTCAAATGGCTGGGAAAACGTAGCGGCATCATTCACGATGGGCCGGGACACTCTCTCTTAAGGATAGTTATAGATCTACTACAAACTGCGATTACCTTGACAGGCACGAAGCGCATACAATACATATATAGTGCTTAACTAGTCAGCCATGTGGTGAAACGTACCCCACACTCACACAGACTGAGCAGGCAATTGTTGCGCGTAAACTTCCGCCTACATAAATCTAAACTTTCTGTCCAGTATCGCATTACAGTTAGTGGACAACTCTCTAATAATAATAGTAAACTGAACGGTTAATAAAGAAAGCACCTTCTTGAACACCGGGCTTAAAGGCTAAATAAAGTGAGGCCACAATCGTGACACATCAACAGTTATGGAAATGAACAATAATCACCACCGTTCTATGGTATGCTAGGGTCGCTTTTCGGTTAGTCCATCGCCAAAATATAACGCTCAGTATTTGTGCTAGCAAGTAAATATATATATAATTTCATTTGGTAATCTAATCTGAACCGTACTCTCCTGCGAGTTTGAGAACAGAGAGCATGTAACTTCCAACTGTTGTGCAGATGCTTAGTTAGTTCTAGTTGTTCATTTACAGAATCGATGCATATGTCAACGTATGAAAAAAACGCCGCGACAATAATGAGAGATTTATCATTTCAGACGCTGCTGTGTCGTTGGAATGTGACAACTCTCGCGGTCTTAGCTTGTCTTGTGCTGATCTCCGTGTTGCACCTGCAACAGATGCACTATGCCAGTTATCTTGCCAAACCCATCTGGTATCAACAGCAGAAGTAAGTATCTGTCTACTTTAATTTCTACATGCAGAAGTTATCAGCGATGTCGTGAAGCTAGGCTGAGTCGATTCGTCTTATCTAATATCTCTGGAGCGTAGTCCTTCGAAATGGAAACTAGAAATTTTTCATTAGTTTTTAACCTTTAATTTTCGCATAATTGTTGTATCTGAATTTAACACGAAGCCCAATTGCTGCGATCAGTGAATCAGAAAAAATTACATTTTTAGCGTAAGACACTGCAGACGTCCATCGTTATTCGTGACAAGGGATTATGCTATCATGGAGACTGTTGGTCTCGGCTTTAGACGCCGATTACTATAGTTAGTGGCTTCTTTTTATCGGTGACGCAGGTGGGACATTAACCGAACAACGTTTCGCAGCGGCGAACAATGCTGTCAACCAGTCAACAATATTTTCCTTCTTAAAACGCATAAATGTGCAAGTTCAACGATACAGAACATTATTATGCGTTATGGCGACCGAAGAAACCTCTCGTTTGTGCTGCCTAAAGAGGGAAATTATCTCGGGCATCCAAAGCTTTTCAGCAAAACACTTCTTCCAGTTGAGTTGGTTCCTGCCTTCGGATTTAACGTACTCGCGCACCATACTCGCTTCGATGCATCAGCTATCAAGGTAATCAAATTAAATAATAAAACATTACAATTGTGTCGAAACAAGCAAAACAGTAACAATAAGTGTCAATCAACAATGAAAGTCGATCGAATTGATTGGAATCGAGAAAACAATAAGAAAGCAGAATTAACTTTTTCTATCCGCTAGAACTTTCGATAATTTTTTTTAAATTAGATTCTTAATTCGCTAACCGAAGGTGTCCTTATATGTGGCTGATGTGTTCTGCCTTTTAGGAGGTGATGCCTCCAGATACTGCATTCATTACCATCCTTCGTGATCCTGCGGAACTGTTCAATTCTATGTATGCCTATTTTGGCCTGCAGAACTACACTGGTGCAACACTTCAGCAGTTTGCCAATGATCCTGATCGCCAGAGCTTCCTTCAGTCAAATCGCTATGAACAGAGATTCGGACCTAATCAGATGTTTTTTGACCTTGGCTATGATGCCAGCCGCATGAACGAGAGCGCGATCACAGAGGCGATTGAACGGGTCGACCGTGAGTTTGATCTCGTCCTTATTACTGAGTACTTTAACGAATCACTTGTTCTACTTAAGAATCTCTTTTGCTGGGATAGTCAAGACATAATGTATTTCAAGCACAATAAGCGGAAGGCTGATGATCGAATTTCACGCGACGTGCGAAAGCGATTACTTCGATACAACTCGGCTGATGCCCGTTTGTACGCTCATTTCAAAGCCAAACTTCAGACGCTCATAGATGCGTTCGGACGGGACCGCATGCAGGAGGAGGTCGCCAATCTTCGACTATGGAAACGTTTGATTTACGCTCACTGCGTCGAACGCATGGGTGAATCGAAACAACCGGAAACACGTGCATATTCCAAACATGTCTTCAGTATCGTTCTGCGTCCTGATGTTCAGCTTTCCGCCGCCACCGCCGCCGCTGTGACAAGTACTACTCAAACGCAGCCGACTAGCAGACGAAACGGATCACCAAACGATAAAAAGGCAATGACGATGATAACATCAGCAACAACAAAAACGACGACAACAACAACAACGACAACAACAACAACAACGAGAACGACAACAACAAGCACCCAAGCTGAGGAGAACCGCTTGTGCGCAGACATGGCTCGCGCTGAACTTCCCTATACAGAGCGACTCCGCGCCAAACAGCGATTCCTCGCCAGGTCCGCTCAAATGCTGTGATAACAATGGTCAACAAATAATAGTAATAATGAATAGCAAAAGGCAGACGAAGATCATTTTTAGACAATATTGATTCGTACACTCCAATTAGCCCTCGTCGTAGTTTATTTAGGAATAGAGCTTAAAATGTAAATGCTTTATGACAAAACGATCGTGACTAGATGAGAGACTATACATACACATCCATATACACGAAGAATGCTTGATGTAGATATATATATATACATAGACGTATATTCAGAAAAGGAAGCGAGTAAAGTAGGAAGTCAGCAGTTATTATTATTAGTACTTTTACTCCTTAGATCAATTTTTCACTTTGTTACTGGCATGATATCTGAAATAGCAGTATATGTTGGTAATTGCGTTAACATTGTAACTGTAGTTTTTGGATATGACCGAAATCAACAGTTGCTACATCTGATACAGTTCGGAGATTAATCTCATTCTGGCGTGAAAAAATCGATAGTTATTGTCGCACAGGATGACTATAAGTTAACGAAGATCCACAAGCCAATAAAGTGATAGTATAAAACACTTTTGAATATCGCTAATAACTATCTTACTAAAGATCATTGCCAATAGACGGAATCACAATTTAGGGATCGCCATATTGGCTTCACAATCTTCTTTATTGCTACCTGTACTTTAACGGGTCAGCCATATCTAACAAAAAGCTCACAATGGCTTACAGAACATTTAAGGCCTCATGGAAATTTTTAGGAATCCTTCACTAGCCTATTTATGTACAATAGTAGTAATCATATCTTAAACGTTCGTACAGAACGTCACAGCGACCCGGGTCGTCGGAGTGGATTGCGCCAGCTCGATCGCTGAATGATGTGACATAAACACCGGAAAAAAGTACAGAATACAACAATGACAGTTATGATGCTTTAACGGCTAGTGTCTGTAAAGGTCTAATTGCGTTTACGACAACGTATCATTGAAATGGGCCTCGAATTTTTTAGGACGAAAATTTCGTAATAAATAACGCAATGGATGACGCGGTTACGTTAAAGCGAAGAGAGGGGCATAATATTTAACTGGAAATCAGTCAGTGAAAAATCCAACGAAAAAAAAAAAAAAAAAAACTGCAAATGGCTAGATTTATTCAGTGATTTGTTTGTTTGATTTTTTAGTTTATAATCCCTCTGCTCGCTCGCACAGGTCGAGAAGGGGTGCATTAATCAGCTTCCTTTGAATTTGTCGTTACAAATCTGTTCGCATCATAGCTAGCTCAGAAACATTGCATTCAATTGTGCACTGCTATTAAACATAACTGCACCTTAGATTATGCACTTTACTTAAAAAGTGTCAATTACATATATATATATATATATATATCGAAATTGTGCATCTAACGGACCAGCTCTTTAACCTTTAGAGAGTCTTCCACGTCTCCAGATGATGTCCAGAAACTTACATATGTCATTAAAGGTTCTGCTAGTCGGTGGAAACATTTTAAAGCAGCACTCATTAAAAGCTATGGCGCGCCACTGTTAGGTTGCGTTAACTGAGGCGCGAAAAATTCTAATATTTTCTATGTATTTCCCAATATTTCATCAACGTTTTATGATCCTCTAACTGAGAGCACAGCAACATGGCTTAATCTGTCATACTATAAACACGAACTTAGTTGTGGCCCATAAGGTAATTGCTTGCCGATTATCTTAGTTGTTAGTATACGTGGGATTGTTTGTCTATGTAGGCTTATTTGCCTTTTTTTTTTAATTTAGTGCTGTTAAAGATACGCATTTATCATCAAGTCAGGCACTAAAAAACATCGGTGATATCGAATTAGTATTTAGTTTAAAATGAACCAGATCATGTGCGTTCATCATATCCATATACAGAATCGCTTTGTAATATATTTTGGACCATAGCGGTCTAAGTTGAGGGTCAGCTATGACGAACATCTATTGACATGCTCGTTTAGGCTATTAGAAACTTTGCCCCTAGAAACTACAAAACTTTTTCTAGAACATGCACCCAAAAGCGAAATCAAATGCTAATTATTCATTTGATGAATGACAGAAGCGAATTGTCGCACTCCCTTGTGCCCTGCTATTAGGATGTCGATGAAGCGTTTCCATTCTATTAGTTTCATTGGAGTCACAAACAAAAACCAAAATATGTTATTCTGATTAAATATTAACCGTGTCAGAGGGCAGAGCATCACATATTAGCATGGACTATTGGCCTCTCTCCATAGCTCAATTAAATGTAAGCCATGATTATTTCCTTCTAGAAAGCCTTCATTGACTAAGTCGGAAAAACCTAAACAAAAACAGGCCTAATGTTGGCATCTTACATATATCGGTTTTCAAAGTTTCTGAGAGTTTAACTTGTTGTAGGGGTCATTCACGCTGCATTAATTGTTTACGTTTTTGAGTGTATATATATATGAGTTATTACGTGCAAGACGTTGGGAAACATCAAATTTGAAATGATTTCAGCCACAGTTGAACATGCCAATACTATAGTAAAGAGCAGCCATTATTTACATATTTATTTGTGTTTAGTTAATCATATTTATTACAAGTTTTAAGCTAATTTAATTAGCAAATGATCCATTGCGTAAATACAAGATGGCTGTAAATTGAACTGATGTTAACAGTTTAAAACTACATTGTACCTAGCTTACCACCTAAATTCAAATTATTGTCATACGCCCCATGACCATGAACTGAATACATTTAGTGAAATTCTCTGTTCGAGCTAACCGTTTGTTCGATTAACGCATGGTTATTGAAATCGCTTTTGGAGGTAAGCTTATAAAATACTTTGAAACCATCAAGAGGATCCGTTGAGACAGATAATGCCTTGTTCGACTATTTCCCTAAAAACATCGCTGTTAGACAACTGAATTGATCTTAAATATTAACAACTCAGTTTACAAGATGACGAGAATATACTTTTAATTCTTCGTTTCGAATTCTTGTTTTTTTTTGAAAGCCGATATTTACTAACCATTAATTGTCTTCTGGGATTTGAACTAATGACTTTCGGTTTCGCAACGGCAAACACAGCTTGCCACGCAACCTTAGAAACGCCTTTTTTAAAACAGTTGTTAATGCCCTCAATACGATCGCTCATCATTTGAAGAACTATCATTCACATTAGAGCCATAGTACTGTAGAAGCTCACGATCTATTATTTTCAAACAATTGTAATGGTAATAATATTGACGATAGTTGCTTTGGTGACGTTCGCACTTCTCTGTACTAACGCAAGGGACAATGCTTAACTGATGAAATGTTTCGCACGATGCTACGATAATAAATATGGGAAGTGGCCACGAGGAAGCACCCCAACGATCTACATTCACTGTTCAAGTGCAAAACGCTGGACCATAAAAATATTGTTGAGATCGAGGTTCACCTTTGAGATAATTATAGTCACACAATTACTAATGATAATAATTAATAATAACGAGAATAAAATAACGATCAAAACGAACATACTCATAGTAAATTAGAATACGTATGATAGTTGGCATGGATGATTATAGAGCAGTTGTATGAAGAGCCCAGACAAACAGAAATTGAAAAATAATGACACTGGATATTATTAGACATGGTCCTTAATGGGCCCTTTTCGAACGAACGTGCGAAATACGATTAGATATATATCCTGGAGTAAGTACAGTAGTACTAGAAACATTATTAAAGATAATTAATATATTTGTCAGTTGCCGCGTTTCGTAAAGATGTTATACAGCAGAAACAGCAACGAAACGACAATGAATAATAAATGTATGCAGAGTGTCATATGAGATACTTCCTCTCAAATTTGAGTATCGTTGTTCTCCTTTCTTTGAAATTATCGGCTCGTTGCCGAGATGTAGACGCAGCCATACACATTGCCACCTTCCTGAAGAGATTCAGGGATATCACGTAAACGGTAAGCTGTTGGGTGACCGACAGAGAGATAACATAGCGAAAGTAACGAATATATTATTACGATATTATATAACAACAATAATTAAAAAGCTAAAGATAAAAAGGCCAAGTAAACACGGAAGTTCATCAAGACAAACAACAGGAGAAGCAAAAACATTGCTTCCAGATAATGGTTGTATGTATACGAAACACGGAAAAAGCGTATATATATTCGCCAATCAATCACTCGGAATGTTCGTGTTTATTTCGAGAAGGTAACATGTTATGGGAAGAATATGAGCGGATAGCGCAATTCCAACGCGCATCGTCTGCTCTAGCTGCTGCGATTGGCATACATCAGGGCGTGCGTTACTTCTAAGCGCTGAAAGTGTATTCAATTTTTTCATCAACACCAAATAGCCAAGGATCTTCAGTTACCAATTCCGGCATCTGTTAATGTTGTAAGCCTATATTCAAAATGTCCTTCAATGCAATGAAAACAGAGAGCTATTATATAAACAAATGAGTGAACCAACGAAATGGTTACTTGCGGGCGCTTCAAAGGTAATGCAAAAACTAACCCAATTAAAAATATTTTTTAAGCAATCACTCTCATAGTGGTTTAACTCTATACAGCAATACTTAACACGGCGAGCCATTCATTCATTTATTTGACAAGATGCTTAATTAACTCGCAGAGCTCTAATCGTTTTCGAACACAAAACAGCTCAGGCTGTTGTATTGAAGATCTTGCCTACCTAACTTCTGGAAGCCAACTACGGTGGACTCTATGGTGAAAGCGACAAAGTCGTTCTACTGTTTGAAGGGGATGGCAGCGAATTTGTTACGAAAGGCAAAAGACCTTTATCTGTACTTTAATTCAAAAATTATTGTAGGAGTTTTACTAGTTTTTTTTTTTACTCGAGTTTACTAGTTTTTCATTCTAGGAGTGGAAAGGAGGGCGCACTCTATGATGACCAAAGTCGAGCCTGCGACTTACAGTAATGGACTGCATACATATGTACTTTCTACAGATGATGGATTTTCCTATGTGCGTGTAGTCCACCTTTAGTTGCGAGTTGTTCCGTTCTACCTAGCAACACAATGTTAAATTTCGTGAGCCCCATCCACTCACAACAAATTAACTTCAAAACTATTATATGAGAAATAATTTCGTCGAAAAATAGTAGCACCCTTAGTATTCAGCGTGTGCAGTGCGTTTTACAGTCTCGTTGATCGATATGATCCTCCTGAATGTTGGTTCTGAAATATATGCAATGGTTCAATATTAACTCCATCTCAAATAGTGATTTCGGGAACAAATAGACATCGCGTTGTGTGCATGGGCTTCTTTTATTGAACTGTGAATAATATGTGATGCATTCCTAATTCTCACCACCATCAGCTCTGTATGTAAGCGCCAGTTCTTAGTAAATAACAAAGGCAGCCCTTGTTAATATTCATGATCAAAAACTAATCGTTAACGTTTGTGGGATCAGCTAATCATCATTTTACACGAGTCAATAACATCCAAACACCTGGTTTGTAATGTTTTTTTTGAAGTCATTATTATGAATAAATCGATACCATCATACAGTCTTGGGTACTTCGCGATGTTCTCGACTTTTTAAGTATCAGTTCTTTCTCTTAATTAGCCATCTGAAAGATATCGCATTCAAATTGAAAGCCCCAAGCGTAAGCGTGCGCATTCTAAAGCGTTGTCTACACATATTTCCGTAATCTCTTTCGATCTAATCTCTCGAAAAACTAACTCATTTAATATTGAGCAGCCACACAGGCCTGCAGAGAGAACTGAAATCTTCCAGTGCTCAACACATCGTCGTAGAAAAATCAACTATAAACGAACGAAGGCCCGTTAAATCAATTAGTCAGGAACGTGGTGAAACCAATAACTTCGACTGATGACTACTTGATAAAATATCAAAATATTCAGTATATTTAAAAGGTAACACAGTTCAATAAAAAAAAATTAGCAAGTGGGAGTCCAGCCCATTTTTATTAGTGTTTTTTTTCGATCGTGTCTGAGAAAATGATGTTCTTTTTCAAAAACAATACTTGCGTTGAAATAGTAGGCGATAATACGTTGATGTACAAAAAATTCTAGTGTGCTACAAGAACTCGGTGAACTAAATAAATAAAACAATAGCGGTGACGAATCAAGTAAAAAAAAAAAATTAACAGAAATAAACTTCTTTGGCTCGGCTACCGACTGAGATGGCTTAGGCGCTTGAAGCAGGGACATGTTGTGGTCTGGATTCGAACTCACGAATAAACATGTTTTCTTGACGTTTCATGACGGTTGGAAACCAACCAACCGTTCGTCTGATGAAATGCCTAACGGCGATACCACACCTAAAACTCGAAACATATAGGTGCTTGAAACATTGATCATTAATAATAACACAGCCTGTTATCTGCAATAATTAGAGCGGCGTTTTTCGAGCTCTGCAAAAATGGTGCTGAACGAGAAGACCAAAGTTTGGTCTATATTTGTGTCGTTTTTACTTGCTCAATCGAAGCAGTGAATTTCGCCGGATTGCACATTTTCCATAGGTTGCAATGCTTAAGACAAAATTGAGATGCACTATATTGGTGTGAATAGATCCCCTCTAAGTGATACTTTTTGACATTACGACACAAAGAAAGAGTTCATCCGAAATGAGGTATGACTGAATTTGAAGGAAAAGTTGCTTTTTCGTGTGGAGGTAATATTATTAAATAAATGTGAGAATTCAATAGTTTGCCAAATCAGACCGAAAATTTAGATCAACTGAAATTGAAACGGCCACCTCTGTTATTCAGTTTAGCCTTATTCTTTGGTGGTAATATATGATAGTTTTTATAGTAGTTTACTTTTAATCACAGGAATAAGTGAGCATGCGGTAACGAGTTCTATCTTATCAACATTGATTAAAACATTTTTCCAAACCTGTAAAGCGTTAAAAATTTGCGGTTATTTTAAAAATATGGAACTATATGGAGAATTCATTTTAGTAGAAGACACCACCGCTTGTGAGGTAAACACAAAACCTTGATTTTATTACCGTATGTATGGGGTGATTACATTTGGTGGGACGTCTAAAGTAGAAAAATAAATGAAGTTTTGTCTGTAAAATCTTATTTTTTTTATATATAGTTTTAAAGATGATAAAAATAATCCGACGGAACTTGAAAAACGACGTAAGCTCAATTATTCAGCTTGGCATTTAGTTAGAAATAGATGAAAAAGGTGTTGGATGATTTAGGATGCGGCATTACATAAATACACTTTATAGATGGAGGGGGGAACGATGGAAAAATAACATCTACAGGTTGAAGAGGTAAGACATCTAATACTCATAGATATAAGGTTGAAAAAAGATACTAAGTGTATATAACAAATATTAAATGATGAGAGCATTTTGTTGAAGATCTAAAATCTAGGTGACCTATTTTTTAGTGGCACCGAGGAAGATAATTTTAACGAATCTGTGACAGGCCGAAAGCAGTTCACACACGCGCTTTTCAAAGCACAAAACAAACAATAAGCAATTTGACGATGAACTATGATAATTGGTTACTTTTCGGGTCCCACTAAACTGATTATTTGTTTTTTTTCTGTGTTTAAATTTGTACATTAAAGTATACCTGTGTCAACAAGTATGCTGTAATACTTAGGTTGGACACAGATTTTTAGCTACTTCAGACGTATTGGTTCCGAAAAAAATTATTCATAAGTGAGAAACTTAACACTCTCACAACTTGAGTGAGATTTCTGATTTTCATATAGTGACCATCTCACTGAAAAAATTATTATATTCAAATCACGTTCCAGATCTTTAGTTCAGTTGAAGATTGAACCGCCTCACAGTCCATTTGCTCTTTATGATTAGCAACAGCTTCCTCATCTACAAGCATCTCATCTTCACTCACTTTACATGCGACCTGACTTTGATTCCTGTCATCTAAAAGGTTTCTACCGTCTTCTAGATGGCCGGAGATGTGTCCTACAATAACTTGTCCGCCGGTATCTTCATTTATCTAATCGGCATCGTCGGCCTCAGCAATAACAGAAACGGAAGAATTATAAACCCCACCACAACCATCATCGCTTTGATCAGCTACCCCCAGCTTCTCCCCCTTCTTCGTCTTCTTCTTCGCCGTCATTATCGTGCCGTGCACGGAGTGCAGCAGTTCCAGCTTTATCGATGTCAACTCCCTCCGGTACGATTTCCGAAATTTCTGCACTCTCATACCGAAATGTTTGCAGGCGAAAAACGCCTTCAGCTGGGTCACGCACATAGAAGAAACGACGATGTCCGGCTGGCCATTGCAGACCGTGTTCAGCCACAAGGTGTCTGAAATTAACAATTACAATGTTAGTCATATACTTTCCTCCCACAACCCTATCTAACGTTACAGTTACTTGGTCTGAAACTCCTATGCGTATACGGTAAAAGTAAGACTGTATTTCCGACCGATAGTTATAATTGTTGCTAGAAATTTGTAGCTCATTCGTCAAATTACATTGAAGAAAGTATGTGCAACGCCAGGATAAGAGCTACTGCCTAACGCACGTGTCCTTTCAATATTTGGATAGCGTCGGCAGCTTTGCCTAAGTTTCACGGCGCCGCCGGCTTCTGCTGTTAAACACCTGAATAAATTATCCCTCGCTTAACACAAGTTTCTCACCTCAAGCGGCATGCACCGTAAGAACCTCGCTGTATACTGAATTGGTTACGGCAGGCATTCCTTTGAAAAAGTTCTTGAGATTGAGCTCTAGATAGGATTCCAACGCTCAAGCATATTTTTTTTCTGAGAGTATTGTGAGAATGTTTTATTCATGAGGTGTAGGGAGGAATTTTTCGTTCTAGCTTTTTATTTTTGGCTTTTCTTAATGCTTTTGCTCTTTGAATATGGCCGTGCTGTGAGGCAACCCAAAAAGGTTTTTGTGGACTCAATAAGTCTTGTCTTTTTATTTTATTATTAAGAAAAGATTATTGACGGAAGGCGGATCTTGCGGACCAATGAACGTCCGTGCAAGGTTATGAATGGGAAGGCTAAGGCATGCAGTCTATCAAGAACGATCGTTTACGAATTTCATTCTGGTTTGTTAGGGGCTGTTGAGATTTTCACACAAAAAATAGTCAGTTTCACTGAGTCCGCATTGATCAGGTAAATTTAGGTATTAACTGACCAATGCTCATTGGTCTTCTAACGGGCTTAATTATGTTATTATTTAGACGACGCAATTAACATCATTATACACCGTTATCGTTTTCTTAAGCTTTTGGTTAAATGTCACCGCGATGCTTCTATTCAGCCTTTTTAGTACTACCGTTTGCTAAGCATTCAGTATTTTGCTTAATTTTTATACTGCAGTAAGTATGATTGATTAGATTCCGCTAAAATAGTTGTATCGAAATCTCTGATATCTGGCTAAGGGCGCAGTGTTGGAGCTACCCGAGTTGGATTAACATTCGCACAGTTCGACTGTAAAATTATTGATCTCAGCCGTGACGGAGTTTGACGGCCTTTTAAATTACGGGACTATTAAGGCTAGCCCAGCGTTTTGATATTGCGGGCAGCCTATTACAAGTGTAATAGAGCGGTTTACTGGTAAACATGTGCTGGGATGGAAAAGAAAAAGCCCCAAGGCAAGGAAAAATAAAGGCATAGCTTAGTACAAAGGTTATTCAGTGAAATAAGTACGGAAATCGAATGGATTTCCATTGCATGCATCTGTATGCAAAATGTACTTAACAACAGGAGTGGTGTATTGCACCTTTGGATTAAGTTATTATAATCTAAAGTAGCTTTTACTCCGCAAAACTCAAGCAGTTCCTACAAATGCGAATTTACTCTGTAATTTTCCGAAGTTATCCAGATATTTTCAGCTTTGATACGTATCATCATGCATAATACATTTGTCCACTAGCCCCGCTGTATGATAACGTGTAAATATTAACTACCTGCTCAGTAGATGACCTTCGATCTCAAAACGCTCACTGCAGAGATGGCATGCATAGATACGGCTCTCTCCCTCGGAATGACCCTGGAATATTATATAGAAATATTGATATTAACCTTAGCATCAATAAAGAGGAAAACGCACTGCACATCCATTTGATTGATGCAATACGTTTGTACGTACAGTATTGTTTCTACCATAATATGTATAAATCGCTTCCGCATCGTCAGAACAATTGTTTGTCGAATGACAAACGTCCATACTGAACCGTCATTGTAACATTGTTAAATGTGAGCGTATAAAAATACGTATTTAATAAGCAACATTGCTGGCGTACTGAGTTAAACAGCAACTGAATTTCTTTCCCGTATCTGTTTTCATGCGGCGCTCAAAACCACAGAAAATAATCTCAGTTGCCTTAATATAATTTAATGCAACTTTATTACCTGTAACCAAGTTTGAAATGTTTAAATTAAACTGCACTACCCCAGCGTATTGTTTCGTTTCTCGTAATACAGGAAATCAAGCATAGAAAAATTACAAACCTGTAATCTATGTCTACGCATTTTATAGTGGCTTCTTGTGGTAAATCTGCACTCGTTATGCTTGCATCGCATTTCCTTCGAGTTGTGGACTCGCTCAACATGCGTTGACAGATTTCTAGGAAGCTTGAAGCGACTGGGACATTGACCACATGCGAATGGCCTGTCCGTCGTGTGTCTTGTCGCAATGTGACCCCGTAGATCATTTGGGGCGGGCATAGTCATTTCGCAAAATGGACACTGTCGTCAAAAGAACATGACATGAAAATCAATCAGGGGACATCAAATATCAGGGCTGTTTCACATACGTATCAATAGGTTCAATTTTCTTCATCGTTCTTCATTTGTACGGCGTTCAACGGAGTTGGTCACTTGGACGCACCTAGAAGAACTATTCTACAAACTAACTCACTTAGAAACCATTGATTGACGTCTACTATTATTAGTCATAGAGATGCATTAAGGCTTATCAGTTGCAAAATAACAACTTCTTCCGCGAAAAAATTTCCACTGAAATAGCCAAGCAGCTTTTTAAGAAGCTTTAAAAACCAACCTTGTACTGTGAGATATGCTGACGTTCATGATCCCTCAAAATGCGGTCATGGAAAAAGGCCTTTGAGCAGTAGCGGCACTGCAATGACTCCGACTGGCTCGCCTTACATAAAAAAGGCAATACACAAATCACTATTAATCAGCAGTTAGAAGGCAATTATTATGACTTATGATCAGCGACTGTTTACATCATATTTTGATTACCTAATGGTTTCACACGATAAACAAGGATCAGTAATATCTGACAGCTGAAGACCAGATAATTTTTCTCGAATATTTCGAAATTTGATTGTCTCTTACATTAAGGTGGAGGTAGAAATAAGTGAAAATATTATAAGTAAATTCATTACTCATTTAAAAGCCAACTACATCTAAACAATTGTCTTGAGTCTATACACTCGTTTCGCATAGTGTGAGATTAGAAAGCGATTAAATGTTTCGCATTAGTTCATTCATTTAAAGCAGGAATACTGGGACTCCCTGTTTTCTACACGTTGCAAAAATAACAACAATAATAATAAATACATCTTAAAAGGGACAAAAGAAACAATAAAAGCAGGAAAGAACATCAAATAATATGAACTTCGAATCATAAATTGTAGTTTGCATTGAACATGATCACGTTTCATCGCGAAGTTTCAGCACACTGCTTTAACTTTTCTTAAAAATAGGTCCTTACAGGTTGCATCTGCCTTCGAAAATGATCAAGAAACTTATTAGCTGAGCGGAAAATAGCTCCACAAGTGGAGCAGGACGAATCTTTTTGCGAGCTGTGGGATTTGACGTGTCCACGCAACAGCGAATACGTAAAGTCTAATCGGCAATCCGTCCACTGACACCTAAATAACCGCAAATACCCAGTACAACAGAACATTATTTTTTGGGAAAACGAGGTATCTTCAAAATAGATGGGTGTGTTTTTGGGACCGACTGAACTCTAGAGTATTAATATATATATAATATTTCGATAATGACGCATCTGTTATTATCAGAAACAAGAATAAGCTTAAATTTAGGTCATCTTGCTATGTGCAGGAATAACCACAGGAAGGAACGAAGGGCGAAGATGTTTTGTGAAGACAAGTAGAAGAAAAGTATAGGACGTTGGTGAAACAGTACTAAAAAATAACGGTACGCCACTGTAATAGGTTGATGGAACGAACGGTTCAGCAAAACTTTTAATAACCAATGAAGTACTTATACCGGTACATGTCCTTATGCCAATCAGTGCCTTCGATGGTCTCGTGAACATGGACTAGAAGATGAAAGTTGAAGTCTTCTGGACTTTCCAGTACATACTCGCAGTCCGCCCATTCGCACTCAAACGCGTCAAATACATCAACAGTGTGACGGTTCTACAAAATATATAACTTATCTATTAGCTCAAAATTGTGATAGGAATTAAGGAGAAAGAAAGAAAAAAAGAGAGAGAGACTAAAACATCCGCAGTGCAATAATGAAATAAATAACGCCTGCATTGCCAAATGTCTTTATGCTTACTCATACATATATAGCTTTTGCTAAAATAAGTATTCCGCTATACAGTTTATGTACAGGTATTTAGGTTTCAAGATCCTAACACAAACGTGGGGTGCAGTTATTCTACTTATACTTATCCATATGCCAAGAATATGCGCACATGGCAATTGTCGAAAGGTATTAATATCCCAATATATACGGTGTTATAAAATTCATTATCATTTTTATAAGCTAGTCACATAGAGGACAATAAATGCCAATTGGTCCAAAGTTCCTCGTTGTTATTACTTTCTTGACATGGTTCCCAATCTAAGCTTTCATTATCTCGAACGCAGTTGATACCTATTTCAGCAGCCATTATGGCGCACGTAGCAACACTATGTCACGTGTCATCATAATGTCTAATCCAGTACCATGAGCTTAGCAGTGGGAAATTCTTTATGACAAAAAGAGATGGTAAGCATCCTTAAACAGGAGTTGATATCGACCCAGTCTGAGATAGAATCGTGTATAAAAGTATTCAAATATTACATCGCTTGGTTTTACTTTCAACTTAAGTGGTTTACAAACGGACACAAACTGTGGGGAGGAATATATTTATAGGAAAGGGTTAACCCATATAAGACTATATGCGTACACAGCTATATAAAGGTTGCCCCAATTTGGCTTCAACTGTGAGCCCATTTTTGCCGGCTTCTTTATAATCAGACTTTAATAGTATTTTTTTAGCACAAATAATCCTCTTTTAACTCTCTCTGTACAACTTTAAGTTAGTCAGTAAACCTGTGTAGGTAAGTAGCATTTGAAATCGCGCCTGGATGCGAGTTTCCGATCCCCTAGCAATTTTAACTTTTCGTGATACCTGAAAACATACAAAGCCATAGAAAAGCTGTATCAAATAGTACAGTTTGATTTGAATGTTTAGTAACTTTTTTTTAGTGTTAGGGTAAGTCTTGTGCACACACTTCCTAAATCGTCTCATTGTCAAATTGCTATTTAAACCTAAATCGTGATGTCTTCATAAAAACATAACCAAACTAGAACGGCCTAGAAACACTTACCGCTTTAAGGAGGCGATAATCCCCCCTAGATATAAAACTGATTATATTTGCTTCTTTTATTATTATTATTATTGATTGTTGGTATTACTATCGCACCCGTGATAATAAACGTGAGTCGGTGTCCAAGGCTGAGTAGCGGCACATTCTCTCCATCGACACCGTTCGCCAGTCTCGTTACGAGCGTCCTTCCCAGTCCACATGTGCCTTCTGGAAAAACAAACGAACGGCAAATGACAAATACATTTGAACTTTAGATCAGTATGCACCAATTTCAAGAAACATTACGATACTACACTATAAGCAGCTTCTCACAATCGAAAACAACTTTGCACTCCTCCAATATGTTTTTTGTTATGCAGTATTACAGAGCAATCCGGGACCTTTTAATAAAATATCAACATCTTATCCTAAAGAATCTCAACTTGAAAAAGTTGGCTTAGTTGGATAGTTTCTCACGGGATTAAGCAGTTAACGAGAATAAGCTACATACTTCGAATTTCTGATATTCAGTTATCCTAATGCGAAATAATACACAGAAAACTCGAACCTTCACCTAATATGTATGAAGTAACCCTGTTTTGCAAAACCAAAGTGTGCTTCGATGGACAACATGGGCTTACAAGGAGAGGTGTTGAAAGTATATCGCAAGATCCTAACGGATGTGGTCGAACTCATTTTTTTCCTCGCGCAGGTCGAAATTTAGACTTTCAGCTGAACTTCAAAAGGTTCCGTTGTTTTTAAGTTGGCATTGCAAGCATCACGATAAAGATACTAAGACATTTGAAAAGTGATATTTCAGAACAATCTGGTATCAACTAACACCGTTGCCAGTCTAAATTATATGCCTCAATCGTATAATTGAATTCACTTGAAGATCGCCTAAACCCTTTTCTCACTAACTACCATAATAAGCCTAAGGTGCATTACGAACAGGCATCCACTTCTAAAGGTGACTTGGTACACAGACAACTTGATAATATAGGTTCAACCTGCAAGAAGCGATCGTTTTTTTTGACAAGCTATATTCATTAAATTAAGCCAACAATCAATAGCCAAACGCTGGCGTTCAAGTTGCGTCGCCTACACAGTTCCTCGCTTATTCAACAGATTGAGCAACGAGTTTAAAAAGCATTAACGGCCTCGACCTTTATTGAAAATCTTCGGAAACTTCTTTACATATGCCTCTCAGTTCAGTCAAAACAATATCCCAATCGCTTTTTGTGAAATATTGTTTTTATGACATTCATAATGTCAGAACGTTTTCAAAGCTTTCGACTTAGAGGAAAACAGACGCCTAGGCGTTTGAGGACGATAGTATAAACCAGCGTACACAGCTCCGGACCATTCACTCGCGATAACTGAGGGTGCCTCAGTCAGGTTATCTAGTAAAAAAAGAACCATACTAAATGATGCACAACGGTGACGTTTGTAAGCAGCTTGTCAATATAAAAACGTCCTACAGAGATCTAATAACTATATGCGAAATGTTACATATTCAAGTACCTATAGAATTTTATACCTTTTAGGCGAATTATCTATTAGGCATTAGATATGGCATTATGGCATTATGTGCGGATGAATTTCATATTTTAACTCGAATTTACTGCCGTAAGTAATAAGTAATAAATACCGTAAGTGAGTGTAATATGCGCAAAGGTCGGGACAGATGTCTTGACAATTTGCCCATCTACAGGGAAGATCAGCGGTCAGATTATGAAAGACAGGCGTCGGTGCAAGTCCCGTATACGACGCTCGAGGTCGTTTCGAACGAGAATTCCCACCAGATTTTTGGTGCGGCTCATCGATTTTTTCTGCATCCATTTGCAGCTCACGTCCTTGATAAGAAAAATAGACAGAATATTTTTATAATTTAAACTTTCTAATGCACACAACAACATACCTTTCCTATACTTTATCAGGTATATGCTGAATGATGAAATACATATCGCTGTTTTGCTGCTGTTGTATGAAACCTAGCTAGTACCAAGATGGGCCTTAGTTCGTGAGCAAGAAACTACCCTAATGCAAGGTGCCTTAACCTGTTTATCGATGTTGCAACAATCAAAGTGGCAATGCGTGAAAAGATTTACGACTTTCAACTTAAAAATAATCTTCCATGTGATTTTGCGACTGATACATAATAGAAGTGCACTAATTATTTTACTATCCGATTAAGCAATAGAATGCAAGGCTGTACGAAACCTTTTTTAAAGAGTGTGCAATCACGTTTTAGGTATTGCCTTTAGTCTGCCCATCGGTTAGTTATAATGACATCACCGTTGTAGAAATCCCTTATTTTTTATTTTGGAAGAAAGCATTTTTCTCTGCAGCGCTATAGAAAACTAAGTTCGACTCGGTACCGTGGCATAATCAACAGCAATCAATAGTGAAGTTAAGTAAGAATCCTTGCCTCCAGGTGATCCCCTCAAAATCAAACATTTTTAACGATTAGTTGGTCTGTTAACGAAAGACTAGCTTTTAGTATTTCTGTCCGTAATTGCACCGCTTTAAACCTGTACTATTGCCGTAACATAAACTAATCGTCCACATATTTTTCTTTTGTGAATAAATACCCTAGATAACCTCTAACGAAGCTTTCACCACACAAAAGAGCTTCCTTTTTTCAACATACGTTCCCGTTTCCTTGACATGGCTGATTCGTGAAAACTATCCCGGTCTGCTGATAAATTCTGCGATATCATAATTTTATATCACGGATTCGCTGAATAAATTAACAGAGATACAGCCATTTACCTTGGCACATTACTCTCTGTTTCGGTCCTTAGTACACGTTTAACACTATAGCGGAGTTCTATATGCGATTGCGAGACACATAAATAAATATTCACAACTGACCGCCAATGAAAGCAGACGAAGTTCAGAAAAGGACGGAAAGGGCAATATGGAGGGAAAGAGAAATGTTTTTTCGTGTTGTACCTCTGGTATTTAGATTACTTCGGACGACTGGTATTTAACACGAAACGAAGTGTGTCTGTCGCTGGATTTTAACCTAGACCACGTATCAGGAGTTGCCCACTACGCTATCATCGAAACTGCGCTTCATGATGGGAATTAATCGTCTAATGTAATACCTAACAGCAATGCTGGGCATAAAACTAGAAGCATTTATTCAGAGGCAAAGATAAAGAGAAAGCCACTAATTAATTTCAAAGGTTTATGTACGTGTCGTTTTTGTACTCTAGCTCTAGCGGAGTGCTCAATACGAGAATACAATAGGGGAGGGCAAGTGCCTATCAATGGCAATGGCTGAATAACCCGAATAGATGCATCCTGTAATGAATTGCGTACGGAAAGGTACAATATAGGTATCGTAGTGTCTCGTCTAAACAAATGCAATATTACATTAAGTAGACCCATCACCATCCCCAAACGTCGTTTTAATCTTTCCTTCTTTGATTTAAGCAAGCTACCACTAAACAGTTCAAATTTGTTTTAACTTTAGGTACCTTAGCTGATTGAACAAAATAAGAGATTTTCACACAAGGAGAACCAAAAAATCGATGAAGACTAGCTGAGTTTGTTCTGAATGTTATGAATCCATCATACGTATGTATCTAATACGTATGTGTATAATAATAACTGTGAGGACATACAACCCTGTGTCATGCTTCATTCAGACATATGCGCCACAGGTAAACACTCGCTATTGAAATGGCTTTTCCTAATAACGAGTCGCCCGATGACTAATGTGTCTGGTGTGTTTGCTTTCGAAAATCCATTCATTCTTCGAGAGATTCTGCTCAGCTGGTAAAAACAACAACACACGAACTACAATCTGCACAATACAAGAAGGGCTACTATAAGTGTAATAGTACCTGTGTTCCCGTTGTCCCTGCCCATTCGGCCATTCCATCCCACCTAGTCAGTCAGACAGTGATAATAGTAGCCCATAGCCTGTTATTGCCTCGGTAGTTTTCATCGTCGTCGTAACCTATTACAAGCTGTAATGGTGCTGACAGTAGAGGGAATCTGACATCAAGGTTTGTACCATAGGCGATGCTGGCGCTGCTACCCAAGGAAACAAGTACGGCTTTTAAAGCTGTGCCTAAAAAATAGTCATTGTGCGAAGCTGGGAATAGTGGTATACCTAGGACAGAAGACCTCCCATAATTACTGGACAGAATTATAGGAGTGTTACCCAATTGGTGAATTGTACTGTCGCATGTTACTGTTTACCTAAGCAATGTGATAGACAATAGCCGAGGTGGGTTTCCGTCTTCTGTCAACGGGAACAGCTGCTACTGACAACAACACTACGATAAAATTCGTCCCTGTTGCTTCTCTGCTCATCTATGAATCGATTTCAGTGAAATGAATGATCAGTGACCGAAAATGTAGGTGTAGCTCCATCGTCGTGCAAAGGTCCCATCTTGATTTATAGAAGGCAATCCAGCTGTAAAGTCAAGTGAATGTTTATTATGCGAAAACAGAGACTGATTCAGGGCCTCGTGGTTGGGCATTATTGTCTTTATCGCATACTCGAGCAAAAGTGAAGAATGTGCGCGGGCTTGCTTTAATTCGTTTATTACGTTCATCCGTTCGTTTCAGAGGTGGGTAGAGACATCGGATTTGATTGATCAGACTAATTAACCAAATGAAGCAAACAAATATAACGTAGGCAACCTTAACACTATTTTTAAATAATATGTTTTATGTGCGCTGTACCAAAATAGCCAGTGTATCTACGTATATAAAAGGCGAAAAAAACTACGAAAGTGGATTTATTCTTTTTTTATGCATTAACATATATATAATTCTACAATTGTTACGTTACAACTTACGTGCTGCTAAACGTGATTTCATGCTTGTTGGGGGAAAATTATTCTTTTTCGTGGGATTACTGTTTCTGTCATTTAGTATGCCTGTTTGTGGGAGGCGAAATGCAGGGTAACAAGAATCCTAGTATTAATGTTCACCTAAAGTCATGCTAATTAAAAGTGATTTGTCGTCGGTTCTGATAACGTAAAAAGTTATCTGAAAAAGTTTTAACTCCGTATTTTACGCTTTGCTATATCCTCAGGCATTTTTCAAATTGCTGACTTGCAACCCTTTAAAGTACTTTGGGTCAAACATAGACAGCTGTCCTAAGTTTAGCGAGCGGATATGATATCCAGTGCGCTATCAAGCCAGTTCTAGTAGCCAGTTGAGAACGGCTATCTTAAATAATGACGCAACGCATTAAGCTATAAACACTGGAAATACTATGAAAAATCAATATTGCTAAATTACTAAAATGAAGATTTGCCATTCACAAGGTGTAGGAAACCACATTTCGTCTAATCATGCACAGAATGTTTGGGATGAACTGGTAAACGACCAAATCGACGTCGCTGGATGATAAGCTGATCCAAAATGTCAACAGAAACCCGTATGAACCTTTTTGAAGGGCTCCTCTATCACGGACATGTTTATTCAATGAACTTGCCACTCGTTTCGATCACTGCTTCAATTCAAGGGCCGAATGGCACTTGAATAATTTTCAAAAGTTCTTCCTCAAAGTTCACGAAAAAGAGAAAGGACTCTAGTAGTATTGCTCAAACGGCAGACAACAAATCCAGCAGACTTAAATAAAAAATATAAATAAAAAAGTAAGTAGTCGAAAAATGCAGCGGTATAAAAAGTTAGAAAGGTGTAGACTTGAGAGGTCTAAAAAATATTAACCATTGATGCATATCTGGATGACCCAAACTTCTGACTTTGCTATAATGAATTTGTGGCTTTTCTAGAACGAACTGACTTTTTTTAGTGCATTCCCGCTACGGGAAACAGTTCGCGATTTTTTTTTCCAGTTAATTTAGTGCATCCTATATATACATATAAGGTGCTTGATTAGTATTAAAGTGGGCTTAACCATTAGTAGGCAATCCAATTGGTTTTCGTGCGGTACGTTGCTTAGTTACTTGACAACTTAGAAATGTTATTGCTGAGCTCTATTTATGTTTATTGTACCAGCTACTAAGCAGGTGATGATAGCCTGACGCTTGGATACGTCAAAGTACGAATTACTGGAGTAAAAAAGATGTTACCTTAAGTAAATATTTAAATTTGGAGACTGCAAAGGACCGTTTCTCAATTCGCTATTGCTTTTACGCCTTCTGGGGAGGACGATAGTTATGTCCAAATCGAATCGTAAGAGATTAGTCACATTAACGACGCAGCTTTTTCCTCGAATTTTAGCGGTATTATTCCAAAGAAGAGAGTACCATACTGTAATCTTAGGAGACCAAACTTTCACCAATGGACTGGACGCAATCATTTTAAGCACGCAGCCGTTTTTTAAACTTAAAATTTAATATTGATGTTTACAATAGTTTGCGGCTTTTTGTGTGTCTTTCGACATGCAGCACAGTGTATCACTATTTTACAATCGTTTCGTCGAATGATTGATTATTTGTGAGACACTTTGATTCCAAGTTTTTCTTCATGCTTATTTAAATGTATTCTCGGCCAGGTGTGTTTCACGAAATCCTTTAATGAAATCCATCGGATGCTCGAAGTGGCCGCAGAGCTGTACTTCTAAATTTTATGTAAGAACCATTAAAGAAAATATCTGTGATATTGATTCTTGCGTCACCAATTTTAATAGTTGTCACGTTTTTGCTTGGCGCATGTTTTCACTTATAATAATAAAATAATGGATATTTCTACGTTGTGCGTCGTCGTTAATTACTAGTAGGTTATTTAGAAGGTTGTACATTACGATCAGGCGTGCAACATATGCATAAGTGCAGCGATATAGGTGAACAAATAAGTATAAGGATAAATGCAGTTAATAGTCAGCATAAAATAGTCATACGGAAGAATAGGCTACAGATTAGATGGACATTCTAATGTGGCTGGCTATCCGTTTAAAATCTTGTAGCTTGATCTTGATTCATAATTGATTTGGGGGCAAACATTAAAATTTTTGAGTTGAGTTTTGAGGGGCTAACAAACGAACAGATGAAAAAACCTACCTTGAATTTTTCTCCAGCATGTTAACCAGGTATTCGATTTTGTTGCTCTATGATATACAACCACCGGCGTACGTTAAGTTGCGACCTTTTCAGACAAACAAAAATACAAATGCTGACGGCACAGATATAGACTGAATGAGGTGCTAGAATTTTCTAGATCATTTAACCTTTTCTCATACTACGTTCAGTGATGAATGTATTTTGCGGTTCAATAGAAGTGAATAGTAAGCAGATTAGTTTAAAAGACGTACGCGTTTCAATAACCTACGAAGTACTAGCTATGTAGGGTGTTTGATGAAGTGCCTTATTTCATTCAAATGACCTGATTACTGCAATATTGTACTTGATACAGCTAGGAACTTTATTCTACCACGCTAAAATCCTGCATTTTACTGCCGTCTCATCTCCTTCGTTTTGCATCCAATCTTAGGAGAAAGAAGCTGAAGCCTACACTCGCTGCTATTTTTCCAGGCGTTCTGTTATAGTTCGTCCACTCGACGCCTTCAATGGCAAGAACAACGCTTTTTTTTGTTCCACTATACTATACCTTGGTTGGGACACGTAAGAGGACTTGTGTTTGTTAAGCGTTGACGATAAATTTTGAAAGTCAGCATTGGGACGGATTTTCAAACTAGCAATACAAAACAAGTTGATTTTTCGTACAATCAGCGTGATCCCGCGTTGGATATGACCGTACAAGCCTTAGACAACTCGGCCTTTTTAACTCATGACTGCTAAGGTGCGCCTATTTGAACTTACAGAAAAGATACCACTTTAAATATAAGGAGCTATTATATTATGTCTGTGGTTAATGGTTGATGACTATGAATTCTAAGAACTCGACGTTCTCAATTGCAGACTCTACTAAACTGTCGCGTCTCTTGCATAATATTGGCTCGGAGATTTACTAGTACTGATTCTGTAGTCTCATATATATATATATATATATATATATATATATATATATATAATTTCTTAACGCATTTAAAGAAATATAAAAATTAAATTTTCAAAGGACTTTTTTCTGTTTGATGACCTTAGTCCGTAGGGATACTTATCCATCGCTGAGGCTTGTTGCGCTATTAAACTAAATTAAAGACCAAAGAACGTCTTTATTATTAAAGATGTTTCGTTAGAATAGATTACGGTTTATGGAGCTCGGCGACATAGATTCTTTGTCCTAGGTTGTTTGTTAAATGACGGTTGCTGTTTTCAGTCTGATAACAATATGGGTGGTGGTCACATAATATAATATCAATGGTGTTTCTGGTGGCTGAGGTCAGGGAAATGAAACCGAAAAGTAAGCATCTTAACTTTGAAGATGACGGAGGAAATAATATAAAGGTTGCGTTTGAATGTGCAGTATATAAGCAAATGGCAGTAGACAACATTGATGGAACTTTGATGTACATATACGGTTTTCCTTTAGTTCCTTTAGATGTTAAATTCTGACGATACATTGTAATTGCATTTGGCTTACCAGATATGTCTGTCGTTAAACTTAGAATCTATTTATTTTAGCTTTATAAATTCCATTGAGGGTGTATGGAAAAGAGACGTAAGGCTGATAACAAAAACAATGTTTATTCATTTTAACAGATCAACGAACCGTTTTAATGTTCCCCTCTATCGCCTATGCTTTTCTACCTTGGAATTGAACGAATATATATGTATATATATATATATCCCCCGATATTTTCTTCGAATGTCTACTACCTCCGTTGAGATTTTTTTTCGTCACTTCAAGTTTAAATTTTTGAAGAAGATACTGATTATTTTCAACTGAGCCAGCTGTCACTATAATTGGCTCTAAAGTAATGCTAGTGGTAATCGTGGAAATGGTGGAACGTATTGAATAGAAGGCGATCCGTTTGAATAAGTTTAGGAGGCGACCTGTTGGCGCCTGCGAAGAGAAGCTGTCTGCCGTCCTCTTTTGCAACCCAGTTTATGCTGTATAGTGTTCTTGAGGATAATGCTGTTGTCGTTAATATCGCCGTCATTGTTGTCACTATCACCATTCCTACTACAACGACTGCATCAGTAGTCGCATTCATTGATGCGGTGGCGGTAGCAGTAGTGATAGCGATGAAGGGGAATGACCTCGTACTATAGAGATGTGCCACTTATCCTGCTACTGCTGTTGTTCTTAGCCATAGTAGTAGAGTCATAGTCTGATCATTTTAGTTATACGCACAGCGAGAATAAGGCGGCCAATAGAAACTTACGGATACTCGCTTAAACATTAAGTACACACGGATAGACAGGATCAGGCAGCGAGCACACCACGAGTTACGTGAATACAGATATTACATGGACGGGCGGATCGACAAACGGAGGAAACGGATACTATGGCGTCAGCAACGGTGCATGTGTGTTGTCCCAGCAACAACAGAATGACAACTCACAGAGAACAGAGACAGACATAAAAATGCCAGGAAAGGAGGGAAGGGCTGAAATAGACGACAAAATTAAACCGTGACAATGATGACCATTCTGATAGGTCGACATTTGAAGAACAACAATCACAATTAAGATGAAACAGAATCGAGTGCAGTACAGTTTGGTGGATTTGTATCACCATTGCTTCCTGCTGCAAGAGGCCACGGCCGCTTCCATCACGAGAAGCACTGGGCAACGTAACAGCCGATTTTCTTTACAACAACGATCAGCCTAAATGAGACACTAGGACAGCTTGCAGTCAATTATATATAATTGACTATATATATATATATATAACTTTCAATGTATTGGTAGATGTAGGCATATAATGTTCTTTTATAAATTGGGTGTTAGCCAGACTGCTTACTGAATCATCTAAAAATATATTGTTGATCAGATACGATGTAAGAAGGTACAAATTCAGAACAAATTGACCTAAACTAATGTCCTTCTAGTCCAATCTTTTGGATACCATTTTCCGAGTCTAACCTTCCTGCTAAGACAGGACTTGGTTATGTTCTCTTTTTGGAAGTAAACACTCGTACCACTAAAAGCGACATGCTATGACATTATTAGACCGTTTTCTTTACAAGCAAATATAATGCAACAAATTCTGCTTTCGACTCTTGCGGGAGTGTGCTATTTCCGTAATGTATACTAAGCTGAAAGACTCTTTCTCCTTTTTAGAAGCAGCAGCAGCAACAGCAGTAAAATTGCTGTCGACGGCTATCGAATGAGATATGTATGCGCCTACGGCTAACGGAAGGCGGACAGACGCGTTTGTATTTCAGTGTAGATTGGCTCATTCGTTTACTTGAGTGGTGGTCGCGACGGTGACGCAGGCATCGATGGCGACCGCAGTGATTGTGTGCGATCCAGGCATCCGTGGCAATGTGACTGTCCGTGTGTGTCCACGGCGAGTGAATGAATGAATGCTATTTACTCACATATCATGTGAGTGTCGAACTAGAATGAGACAAGCAAGGCGGAACGCGCTCTACCCTCTATGGAACGTGAAGAGCTCTTGTTCATTGCGTTGGACCACTTGTCATAATTGCGGCTATTCTGTTGACGCCGGTAGTAGCATTGTAGTAGTCGTAGTACTAGGACTCGTCTGAAACGCCAGTGTCAGATAGATGACTACGAGCACTTTGACTACTACCACTGCTAAAAACAACAACAATATTCGCGATACCAGTATCGAACTGTCAGGTGGGCAAACACGGCTTTATTTATTTGTGTGGTCTCTGATAGGATTTAGTTTGACTCATATGACGCGACGTGCTAACATTACGCACACGTAATAACAAGCAACAGACATTACCACAATGACACGTTGACGGTGACTTTACCGTTATTCTTTGCGGCAGGGTAAAATAAACTGCCCCTTGTCTGATAACTTACAGCTACTTAGCTGTTACGAATGCGGGATCGCATAATGGTCGGCTGCCGAGTTTAGAAACGAGAACACGAAATGTATATCGAAGTTGTGGCCAAGCTAAACTAATAGAGCTGAATTTTCTATTGCTCCGGTCTCTGGCAGTGTCGGTAGAGCTTCGCAATTCACCACACAATTCAAAATTCGTAATTCGGAAGCAAATTAAAAACCGCATTGCTAACCATCATTACGTATAAGAATTAGGTGTGACAATATTATCAGACAAAGTTTCCTATGAGTTAATAATTTATTTTTTAGTGAAATTGACGCATACCTCCGCGGTGACTTCAATAACAGGAACGGCGCATAGCGCTTTGACATGACGGCAGATGCAAGTCTTAATGAGAAGTGGTAAACAAAGCGGTAAGTCGTGCGCTCGAAGACCGACGACAATTTTAGACTCCGTGAAAATAGGGCAAGCTTCTTCTACTATAATTCGATGTTGTCCACAGCAATTCATTCACTACTGTTGTAACTCTGACATTGGTTTTCGACGAAACGGGAGTACGAACGAAATTAAAAAAAAAACAAGCTTACTTAATTACATGAGAGCTATAACGGTCGAAATAAACGAACTCAGTAATGGTAGCAGTCCGTTTCAACGGTTGGGAAAGTTTTCCTCGATTGGCAATACCTGTGAAAAACGTCGGTAAAATAACAACCAGCATTATCGTTCCCGATGTATAATAAACTATTTGTTGTGACTGAGTTGCGAATATTTGTCGATCGCTTGCCAGAAAAGTACTTGGCGGATAATAGTGGACTTCACTTTAGTCAAGTATTGAGTTCTAGTTGAAACTTGTTGGAACATTGCGGCAGTACCTATAAGATTTATTGATTGTAAAATGCAGCTATCCCTATGCCGAGGCTGTTTTGTTGGATTTAAGAACGTGGGCACCTCTCCACCGCCCTCCTCGTCGTCGCCGGCGCAACGACCTCGGTATGTGCACTAACGTCAGAGGTACGTGATAATTCAGGATAAGTTATGGTAATCCAGATAAGGTAATGTAACTGGCTGAACAAAATATTTGCATACGATTTCATATTCCGAAACAAACTGGCTTTCTAATAAAAATAATGATGATAGTTGTTACAATGATCCAGAATCTGCATAAACGAACTATGTGTTATGTTTGTTTCGAGACAACCGATGGTTTTGTCACATGCTAACCAATCTCTGATTATAGGCAATTAAAGCTGGAATATCAAAAAAGCTGATGAATACTAAATCATACTAAAATAAATTGCAAGCCTTGCTGCTAGTCATGTATATTAATTTCAATGTGTTTCACACTGCCGGCGAATCTTAGCATAGATACTTTAAAGCCACCTTAATATATTTTGATGTTGCCAAAACTCTGGTTTCTATTCTTGAGCATTATTTTGCAGTGCATCGAGCAAAATGGCTAGCGTGCTTATATATAAAATGTAGGATTAGTAAAGCATGGATTAGTCACTGTGAATGAATATTGTCAAACCACAAAACGTACAGTGGCATCATCTTATCGACTTGTATGATCCGCTGCAATTGATATTTACATGTTTTAGCATTATATAATCACCGCCGCATTCTGTGTAATCAGCAGTGTAAACTGTCGGGGGCTTGTCGTCATATATAGTTTTCGTTAGATTGTCAGGAACAAGGCTATGATGATAATAGGCTGAACAGCTCTGTACTTTTGGATACCGTCTGTTCGCTATGCTGCTTTGTAGACTGACCTGGCAAAAGCCAATCAACCCGCCCCAATAGACAGAAACATGTATTCACACGCAGGCTGAAACTGTAAAGGCAACAACGGCAGTCAGGCAGTTATCTTTGTACTGCTAATGGTGCTTTTGTACCTGCGACGTTGACGGCAAAAGCTAGCTGCTTGGCTAATCGCCCTACATCTGTGCCGGTGGAAGCAGCCCGTCGGCTGGTGACGTTTTTGTCGCATGAATGAACGTAGAGCACAATGCGCCTGCCAAGCTGCTACAAGACTGCATGGAATATGCCACGCTATGGCTACAGTAAAGTGGTGGTAGGAGTAGTTGTGCTGATATTCTATTAGCAGTGACAGCAGAAGTAGGATACCTCATCGACAAGGCAGACGAGACCGACGACGACGAAATCAGCAACAACAACAACAACAACGACAATGATAATGATGAAAATGAACTGTGATGGCTACGAATACCCTTACTAGGCGTAGTAAATGTATGGATGAATGCAGAAGCGTCGTTTTCTTCTTGAGAAACATTGATATTCTGATGCCGGTTGTGGCGGCGCTAGTAGACCGTTTAGCCTTAAGACCATCCATCAGCGCCGACTACTCCTCCTCTGTTGTCTGCAGCTAACTATTGTTACTATTGTTGTTTTTACAACACTTAATATGCGTGGCGGTTGCCTTTGGATTTGCTAACCACTGAGAGTCATACTTTTAATGAGACAACGCAGGCAGAGTAATAGGTCTGAGCGCAACAATCCCGTGCATTGCGGTATTTTTTGATGCTTTCTATACTCAAACTAATATTAGCCTCCATTAATTAAATCCGTGATATAAAAATGCGATGAAACATATTGACACGAACACAGTTTGATGGCAAACTGTTAGTTTGCCCATCTCGACAAAAACAGGCAGTGAACACAACATGGCAACATACATGTATTTAGCTATTTAAAGTATCATGGTCATGATGACCGAAAGTCACGTCGAAAACTTATCGAACAAAATTTTCTTTCGATATATTTCAACATCCAAATTTGTTATTAGTAGGTAATCTTTTACTAAGATAATGAATGGTATTATTTAACGATTGAACAATAATATTGTTTATAATAGCAGCTGTGTGTCTGTGAACACCGTCGGTAATAATGAAGACGAGGCGCTATTGCTATTGCTTTTGCCCCGTTCTTTAGCGTCAGATGTAGGTTCATATACAGGAACATGTGAGCTGTTTGAACTCCTCTCATGGCAGGGTGTCAAATTGTTCTCCTTCTACGTAAACTCCTTTGTGAAAAAAGGATACCATTTCAGAAAAACGTATATAGGCAAAGAAGGAAAATGTATACTTACCAAAAAATTACCTATTTCAGCGGCTGCAATGCTTTTTACTGAAAACCTGTTACGCATTCTGAACAAAAATCGCCTAAAGAGGGCGATTCTAAAAATCAGCCGTATATCAGAGAGACGCCACCACTACATATAACTATAGTCGGTAGATTCGATAGACGGGTTTATCGGTAAATAAATTTGGTATCAACGAACGCAAGACGTCACTCTTGCAATTAACAATATCATTTCAACTAATTTTTCCCTCTTCGTTCTCCGGGCTACTTTGTTTTGGAGGAAGAGAGGCAAATAATAAGTTCGCGGCAACGTGAGGACCCTGACGTTAAAGAAGCGATATGGCCGGTTAATCTTACAAGCGCAGAACCCAAAAGAATGATGATTCTTATACAATCTGTATTATATAAAAATAGGAGCACGCGTTTTCAGGTAATTACTTTGATTAGATATTTATAAGTCTATTATTAGAAACTACCGCTGACCTGTAACATATTTTTTAAGGGTCGACTCCGTTGGACCCCGCCTGAAACCAGAAACCTTATCTAGCATGTCGGATGTCTTCTTGATGACTACAAAATGTTGAAATGCATTCGTTTCAGTGACTAGTATTGGCGTGCTCTTTAAAAAGTGGGACGACGAAACTCACTTTTATTCCAAAATTTTTTGGACAAAACGGTCGAGTAACGCGTTCCGCACTGTGTCGTCCGCAAAGAGAGGCAAGGTTATATATGAAGGTTTGTTATTTTGAGAGAAATCGCAGCTAAATGAGAGCCGCAGCCTCTGGCTTTCAGTAGCTAATCTAACGGTATCATTGTTTCTGTCTGTAATTATGGGCAGAAACGCCGCGAAGCAAAAGGCAAACACGCTTATGGAAACAGAAGTAGATAACGTGTGGAGTAAACCGAGACAGTTACTACGTTATATATATACATAGAGAGAGGGTGAAAAAAAGAAGAGGGAGAGAGAAGGAGAGAGAAAGGGAAGTACAGGTACACTTACTGTAAAATGGAGAATTACTGCTGTTTTTGGTTGATGTTGTTTGCTGTCGCTAATCATCACTGCCGTTAAAAGAATACTTATGAAGGGTCCTTAGTTCACTTTAAGAAAGGTAATTACCCGAGTAATACTAACGGCCAGGAGGGAGAAGTTAATGTCTATATTGACAAAGGTGCAAAATAACTCACCGCAAAGTCTAATAAGTTATTTTGTATATGACAATTGAAGTTACTTGTTTGTGTGTAAACACCGAATCTAAACGAACAAATCAATTTAAGTTTTCCGCACCATTTGGTTTCCACCCATTCAATTTCACGCGGCACACTTTTTTTCTTTTACTTTATACACATTTGTTAGCTGTAGGTGCTTTGGCCGCCTGAGCTACCTAAGCCTATTTTAGTAATATCATATGCAGTCATTTTGTGTTAACATGTCAGAACTGGAAATAAGTTATGGTATCAATATAGTGCCAACATGACAAAAGACTATCAAAGAGAGAGGGAAAAGTTGGCAGGCATATATATATATACATATATACATGTTTCGTAAAAGGAGCTCGAGCCATAGGTTCTGAAACGTAAATATGTATGATAGTACCTATAATAATTTATGAAAATGCGGTACATAATTCGTTTCACTTAGTAATGCGTTATCAGTGACCAAAATAAGTATAAAAATAATTTAATGTAGTTTAGAAAGTTGGACAAGCCTGTTGCACTGTGTACGATTGGCACGCAAAGAAGACTTGTTAGATAATTGTTAAGCGGCTGACCAGCTGTTGATGATGAAGCAGATTTTTAGTAATGTTACTTGTCTTTAACGAAGTATGCAACTCTGAAGTTGACCAAATTTCTGATATTGGCTAGTGATTTTTGTTGTTACAGGAATGCATCTGATGGGCATTTCATGAAACGTGTACAGTGTACATCGAGCCACGCAATGGAAAGAGAAAGAGCATGTTCCCCATGTGGGCCCGAGTGTAAAGAGTTAGACCTAAGAGAACCCAAAGAGGCTCTCTTTGCCGAAGGTGGGTTGGACGATCAAACAGCTAATGTCAACGTCGGCGGGCTAGTCACAAGCTGCGTCTGCATCTGCTCTAGTGCGGGTAATACGCGCAGCAGTTTACCGCTTGCTACAACAGCGTCTTCATCCGTGATGTTAGCTCCGTTAAAAGCAGCCTTCTCTGATAGTACGAGCGGTAGTTGCTGTTTGACACCAAATACAACAGCTGGCCAAGGAGTGTCATCTGCCTCTGGACTATCGGGAACTATGACAAGCTGTGCAATGTCGAACGATACCTCAGGGGGAAAGTCCACCTGTAGAAGTAATACAGCGACAGTATCACAAGGATCATCAACCTCTTTGGGAGGCCGGGCATCCTCTGGTGGATCAGTAAGTGGAGGTGGAGCTTCGCGAATTCGACGGTTACTCCGAGGACGAGCCCATTCGTCTCATGGTGGGACAAGTACTAACCCCAGCTGCAGTACCCAGGATGAGGAGCGGATTTCCGCAGGTCGACTTGCAGGTTCATGCCGAGGTCAAAATACCAGTGGCAACATTCGAAGTAAGTCTGTTTTTCCTTGCTTTTTACGCTTATATAAACACACGGCAATAATAATAAATCATGAACTATTAGAGTTTTTAGGGAATCCCCAAATATAATTTGAAAATAAATACTTAGCAGGTAAGTATGGATACAGAAAACGCAGCACGTATTGATCTTAAAGTTGCTTTTTCAACCCTGTAACGCCCAGAGAGCAAGAATATTAACCGTGATTTAAAACTACGCATTAAGTCTTTACTTATGGATGGAAAGCCAACCGAATAAAGGTAGTTTGTTTACTTTCCATAGCATTGAAAATAAGTAAATGCAAACTAACCTTAAAACGCAAAGATTGAAAGTAAATTGTAGAATTTCTATTCTTTTTTTTGTTCTTTTGATCGCGCCTCGTACAGTCTAGAAACACTGTACAATCATCAGGAACTCGGACCACGCTTTTTTGCAAATAGCAGCCTTAATACATATATATATAAGCAATCTTAATATACCTAGAGTTACAGCATGAAGCAGATAAGGAATCGTCGCATTTATCCATTAGCTAAACAAAATTGTCGAACGCAGTGTCCATCGATGTCGACTTCATTTGCGAAAATAATTAAATTGTTGATCATGTCGTTAATTTTTATATGATGAAATGGTTATTGCTAATCGTATTAACCTAATTTCTTGGTTTCTACATGTTGGGAAAAGTACTATAGAATAGGTTTGCAAATTTGTGGCTATTTCTTTCAAAATTGATTCGATGAATTGCTACAATGATCATCCGGAGAATATTTCGTAATAGAATCCGTATAATAGCTAAATATTATGCAAACAAAAGACTTTGGCTCATATTATGCTTGGCCAGGGGCATCGGCTGAATTAATCGATTACTGACCTTCTAATATTGATATCACTTGAAGGTTATTGTTCATATTAAAATTTTCATAGCAGATTCAAAAGCGCTTTATAATACAACAATACCGTAGCGTGTTATGTGAAGTTATATACAGCGCGTTATAAAAAAAAAAACAAAACGATAGAAGAGGCTTTCGTTAAAGGTATTGTGACATGATCCAATTAATATATTTATTATATAGTCGTCTCCCATTTAGCATACAAGTAATTAAGGTACAGGTACTAAAATTTGCCGAAGAACACTTAATCAGCTATGGCCGCGTATGTTATTTTGCAGACTGCCGTCGATCAGCTTCAAAGTCAACATCCTCTCTTCTTGACGCATCCTCTATGCCGTCTTCATCATATTCCTGCTGTGGCACTTCAACATCAAGCAGCGCTATATGGAGCAATAGTAATTCTTTATATCCTGAAGTCGCGTCGTCAGCAGTTTCGCCTTTAATGCAGCCGCCTATGACCTCAAATAATCAACAACAGTTACCAGCCATCTCCAGCGGGTCATTTACTAATACAAACTCTCAGGCCACATTGACGGCTACAACGACTCCACAAAAAACAAAAATTAAGGTTAACTATTATCAGTCGTTCAAGGTCATAAGATTTTCATCCCGGGCTAGAATTTCCACCGTCCTACGTTCTAAACCAAAATCACTCGAATTTTGTGTGATGACTACTTATCATTACAGTCTCAGAAGTTTTCAAAATTTCTGACACTGTAATAACAACTTCCGCTAACATCTAGACTAGAAGCTTTATTTGCACCGGGGTCTCAATTTCTTAGATCTCATCGCTAGCCGATGCAATATTTAGATAACTTCGGATTTTTTACTGATGCCCGTCAAGAAATATTATTTAAGAAGAACTATTTCACTTTTAGCTAGACCACGTTTACTCTTCGCATCTACAGGCTATTAGAGAACGTTACTTAGTATGCTCTCAAAGAATAAACATTTGTTATGTAGCTATGGTGTTTTCACCGTTGTTGTTATTGTTGTTCTTTTAGGTTGGTTCATGGGCACTGAAGCTGTGTAAGCGAAGTAGTCCTGGCAACAGCGGCACTAACGCGAATTCAACAAACAGCGGAGCTTACTCCTCCTGTTCGCAAGGAGGGACGGGCGTACAGGGAGCTTTAGTGAAGACTGCTGCCACTTGTTGTAATAGTGGCTCTGTAGCATCGAAGAGTACAAACTCAAGTCCGTCGAAAGGTCCTGCATCCCTCGGTTACAGCGTTTGTCATCAAGGGGGTTTGTCAGCCTCGCTGCCACTTGCGCCTCCTCAAGAAAATATTCATCATCGCTATCACTACCATCAGCATCATCGCAGCCACAATCAACATGAATCGGGAATTTCGGTGCAGCTAAACAATGAGGTCTTATGCGTGTGTTGCACAGCTGGTGGGTTCTTAAGTCTGTATCCTGTGTTTTAGGCGTTGGTAAATAGCGCCGCATAAAATGCAATATTAAGAGAAGGGATGGCTTGTACTGATTGACTAGTTGCAACACTCTTGTTCTCAGTTATCAGCCCATGTACATTCGTTCATTTTTGTAAAACCTGCTTTACGAGATGTTGAGTCAATGGGTTGAAAGTGTTCACTGGAAATGTGAGCTCTTACGAGCATCAATTCGTAGGTGCGTCAATGAGCAACATGGTTCATCAGTTGTTAATAGAACTGTTATTCGGGTGTAGCTTGCTATTGTATTCTTTATTGTCTAGATAGGTTCGTGTACCCACGTGTTTGAGATCTTTGCCATAACATACACTGATCATTTGTTTATTATTCATGATCGGCATAACATTTTACAATTACATCGACTTTTCATGTTACTGTGACAAGCAGTTAAGCACATTTCTAAAAATGACGTTTATTTTAAGGAACGTCTCGCGATGTGCCAGGAGGTTCATTGGGAAGCGGCGCCAGTGTCAATATTAGTGTATGCGGAGCTCCGGCAGCGCAGTCATCAGGAACTCCAAACGCAACCCGTCGCCGCATGGCAACAGCTATCATCAACCAACTTTCATCATCGTCCCTTGAAGCGAACGATGGAAACCAGGGGTCCCTTCCTCTGGGAGCTTTTGGTTCCCTGGGCGGATCCGACGATTTCGATGAACGTGCTAGAATTGAACGAGCCAGGGAAATTGCTGAGGGAGTTGATCCCCCGCCAGGGTTTATTAGAGCGCACGAGGTACATGCCAACAAATGGCTTGCTGTTTCCATGAGTACATTGTGAAGATCGTTGCTACGTCGTTAAGAAGCTTAGCTTCGAACGAATAATGATTGTAGGATTTCGTGGTGTGTGACGTAGAACTAGCCGGGTTAGTTAAGTACAGGCTCCTTGCTGTGCAGGCAACGTGAATCGTAATCATCTGACATGGCATTTGGTAACCAGTCTATGAGTGTTAGGCATAAATAAATCATACAAAATAGGAGAGTTATGTAGCATTCCTATGATGAGTTCAATTAATAAAAACTGGTTCTGCTGCTTCGGGCACGTTTGTACAGGTGATTCCCGATGAAATTGCCGCGGCACTGCGGAGCCTTAACCTCGACGCACTACCGTGGGATGTCCTTGGAAAAATCTGGGACCTTAATCCATCACCACACCAAATTCCGTTATCGTTAGCTGCTGCCGCCGCCGCAAATCATGGACATGGGCCTGCAGGGAGTGGAAACTGTGGTGGAGTTAGCAGCAGCGCTAATGGTACTACCGTGCACACCACGGTCGATTATATGCACTGTCTTGTGCCCGACCTCGCGCAAATCTCTCGTTGCGGCTTCTATTGGGGGAAGGTACATTTTACATTATTTTAAATAATTATAATAACGCAATAAGAGCCAGTAGCCTGATAGCTTGGTTAACAAGTAATATCAAATTTGGCCGTTGCTGATTTTGTCGAATATGCATATGGTTATGTTTCAATAAACTTGTCAAACTAAAATAACTAGTACCTAAACGCTTTATTACATACTAAATAATTGTTCCAACTCACTGCGTTTTTTTTGCAGATGGATCGCTACGAAGCCGAGCGTCTACTACAGAAAAAGCCTGAAGGATCATTTTTGTTACGAGATTCTGCGCAGGAAGAGTATCTGTTTTCCGTGTCTTTTCGACGATACGGACGTTCGCTGCATGCACGTATCGAACAATGGAACCACAAGTGAGTGATGCGTGTATCGTTCATACTAGATGAGTGCCAAGTTTCGGTCGATATTATTTTAGATGTTATTTTAAACATGCTGCATTTCACGACTTGCATCACGCATACAATCCTTACTAGTTATTGAGGAAGCTTGCCTTAAACTTTGCAACTAACTTCTACGTGTACAGTTTCAGCTTTGATTCGCACGACCCGGGGGTGTTTAGCTCACCGACCGTCTGTGGTCTGATTGAGCACTATAAGGACCCCGCGTGCTGCATGTATTTCGAACCAATGCTCACAATGCCCATCAACAGGTACCATTTCTAGTTCACTCGATGCTCCTGGAGGATGCAAATTGCGATTTATTATTATTATTATTATAATTATTATGAATAGACATTTCTACTGAGCAAGTTGAACCATTCGAAGATCCAGTCGCTGGTATCGCGCTGTCTCGAGATTTCCTCTCGACATCACCCGACACTGATTACAAGCCAAAATTTGATCAGCCTTAAATTTGCTACGCATTTGCTATGTGCTAAGCTGTTAATGTCATGAACGTTTTTGTGCGTTAATATCTTGTTTGTATATTTCAGGAACTTTCCATTCTCACTGCAGCACTTAGCTCGATGCGCAATCACCGAGCGAGTAAATTACGATGACGTATCCCGTCTTCATCTGCCAAAGCCTATTAAAGCTTATCTGCGCGAGTATCATTACAAACAAAGATTGCGGGTGCGTAACGTTGAGAGAGAGTAAGAAATGTCTTTTGTCAAGAGGTCGGCAAGCATCTGCGTGAAGGCTTGAAGTTTTGAAAGTATCCAGTCATCACAGTCCAATGACTAAGCTTAAATGGCATTTCGATAAGTATCTATGCCCTAACGGTCGACATCGGACTGCTCTTGTATGTTTACACAACAACCCGACACTGAGGAACACCACCAAGTAGACCTGAGGCCCACCGCTGGCAAACAGCCAATAGTAACTCACCAATAATGCAAGCGAGAACAAAAAATGGCGTACGCGTTACGCAGAGGCTATACATATAATAGTAGCTTGACGTGTGCTGCTATTTGTTGCACGAACGCAACTTAGTCCCTGGTTGAATCCTTGGAGCTTAGCTAAAGAGAACATGTTTATAAACGTTGTGTCGTTCTACCATGTTACCATAAAATATTCTGCATGACTTATAGAACGCATCAATGAGGCTTCGTCCCGACGTTAATGTTTATAAATAGATTTGTGAGTTCCACCTATTATGAAAATTACCTTTACAGTTTGGGTCAATATCTGAACTAGTCAATAATTTCTGAATTATGCATGGTATGGATACGTTTGAATTTAACCACTAATTTCGAAAAAGTATAATACAACAAATTGAGATTCTAATGAATGATGTGTATTTGGCCTGACCTAACTAAATAGCTCACTGTCATAAAGATCATTATATGACGTGTAAATGGCTGCACTGAGAGGTAAATGGATAAGTTTTATTGTGTCTAAGTATTAACATAAATTGTAGGTGAGAATCCTGATAACATATATATATATATATATGTTATCAGGATATATATACATATATATATATAGGCGTGATTGCCTTGTGAGTGGAATCCGATAGATAAGTTGGTGAATGAACTCCAACTAACAGAGGCATAGATGATTAAAACGAATGAATTTTTACTCCAAATAATCGATCCATATGAAGTATTTAACATCAGTATAGATAAGGATAATCAATTGATAATATTAACACAACACAGCCATTTATAGAAGCTGTAGAATGGCAATGGGCACATGCCAATTAACTGGTTAATTTAGAAAAGCCAACCTGAGAGGACTTTTTGAATCGATTGTATCACTGGAGCACTCTCGTGTAATCGAAGTTTGCTTACGTAAAGTAAGCTGGCCTAACATATCTGGCCCTGCATTATGGTACAAAATATATCCGAAGGTAATGCTGATATTACCGTACGTCTTCGGTTTACTCTTACCGCTGTATTGTGAGTCAATGCTTTTCCGATCTATTAGCGCGTTTTTGCTAAGGCACTAATAATCATTGATTTCCTATATGCTTTGTTTATTTGAATCATTATTGTTTATTGACATTATTTTGTCAGCTTTGAAAAACACACTGAAAATCAGCAGGATAAACAAAAAGCAGGACGCGGAAGGACGAAGAAAGCTATAGCCTGAGTCTAGTCGTCGCTAGAGTCACCTCAAGGAGTGAATTGCAATATGACAAGTGCGAGCTCGTATAAATCATGTTGGACATGGTCTCATTTAAAATTGCCTAAAGGCCCTTGGTTGGTAGTCCAGGGCCGAAAATCGGTGCTAGCGAGCTCGAACTACAACTTGTCCAGGCTAAAAAAAGCAGAAGCGATAAAATTTCGATGGCATTGCTCGGTACGAACGATTCGTCCAGATCTCCTTGGGCGCAAAGCTTAAACCATTTCCAGTTACTTCTGGTACACTTATGATTATTATTAATAATTCAAATACAATGAATTTTATAATGCTTTAAATTAAATACTGTTATCGTATTTGCGTATAAATAAATCTCATCACTTGCAAATGCTACTTGGTTGGTAGGCTATGATTATCGAATTCTTACTAAGCATATTTGCTCCGAAACAATTGATTGCTGACAAAAATAACATGACGACGGTTGAAAGATAAGAAAGTACTTTACTCGTTACTGCTCTCAACTCTTGGGTATAATAGACGCTAGCTTAAGCCAAATTTTTATGCCAATAGTTAAATGAAACGTAAAATTTCCCGCCCACCCACCAAATGTACGTTTGACGAACATGATTATTATTATTAGTTTAATCGTGCATAAGTGATCCTCTCTTTCTGATTATGTACGTTTTTGGTCAAGTAACCCGTTGTAAAATCGAAGAACTGATTCAAAGCTTGAGTTCACCTAGTAATCATTCGAAATTGTGAAATCCAATTTTACATATTTATTATTAAGAGATACAGATGTGTGATGGCAGGAATAATAAAACAAAACACGATTGTGCAAAAACAAATTTTCGGTTTCGTTATATATGAACGTTATCTCTAACTAAGTTTTGATAATTCTAAAAACATTGATTATGTCATTTAAATTAGAGAACAAATCCTAGTTAATATCTAAAGCCCAAGTACTAACTTGGTACGGTATTTGTTATACATAAAAAAAGACACACTGTCAATATATGTAAATGTAAATTAATTCGGTCTCGTCCTTTATTCTCAACGAGCTTTGATATTTTCTACACAACTGGATATACTCATTTATATATATATATATACAACGTATCAAATATTCTATTCGCAATTGTGACTCACTGTGAAGACAAAGTGCTCCAATTGTTTACCTATCCGAACAACCCGAAGCAGTCCCCGGGCGCGATTTACAAATAACCATTTTAAGACTCTTTTTCCGACAGGCAGTTATAATATTTGTCGAGTCCATATCATTAGTTAACGCCAGAAGAGGTGCAAGCAATGCCGCCACGAGCCTTGCGTGTCGAACATCTTAAATACTGTCCCACCTTAGTTTTTTCGTATCGAGCTTAAGGATTGGTATTCGCTGAATTTTTACAAATCTGGAGATGAAATTGAAAATATCGATCATTGTAGAGCGGGGTAACGCGCAAAGCAGATATAACCTAACAAATATTAATACTGCTAATTGGGTAAAAAGCCTTGTCTGTAGCGCAGTTCCTAGGTTACTATATATATATATATATATATATATATATATTACTTTGTCACATCAATTTAGACACCCTGAACTTGTGAGCTTGCGCTATTAGAACAATGATGATTTGTAATGCGCCACATAGTCCTCGACACACCGAGAACAATTTTTAATAGTATGAATAATAATTGCATTTATCTAGTGACTTATGTTAGTACAATATTGAACCATTTATCGATAATTTATTAGTAAAAAATGACTATGTTAATGACTCGTCACTAAAATGACTTGTTCATAATTCACGTTTAAGGTATCTGAAAATTCCCGTTTTGTGGACTTTCATGTCCATCCTCACATATATAATATTTGCGTATATGCAAGGATGATCTGATGTTAACTGATCTGACCTTTAACACCTGAAATATTTTACGACTCTCTCTGTTTGTATGTTCTCTCCGAGACAAACGTATGTTAGTTTCTTATGCTCGTTGTTCTAGCCGGACTCTAACCGAGCCCGCTATAATTTTCACAACTGAAAACACCCGGTATATGACATCTCTTAATGATATGCCAGCTCTCACGAAAACTACAAAAACGCAGCAGACCACATTCTGAACAGGTGACTTCAAGCTTTCATCTCCCTCCTTATGGATGAGATTAGGTAAATACATATAATATGTTTAATCTGACAAATAACAAAAATAACAGACTATCCAGTGAGGAGTGAACGGGAGTGAAGAAAGGGACGCAGCTCGGTCGGAATTGGCTTGTATACGTGAGTTACCACTGTATTTTTAATAATAGGAACGCTGTTAGCATGTGTAATGTTGATGCGAACTCTCGACCGAGTCAAACCAATCTTAGTCAACTCAAAGCGTTATCACTTATCAATCACATATGATGTTCCAGTTGACCAGGGGGGGGGCCTCCAGTGCTTCTCAGATCAAGCATTTGACCAGCCCCAGGTAAACTTCCGTTGTGGTTATGTGACAGGTGATGCGAGCCCGGCGGAGGCGTCTGCAAACCATGATGCTGGTTTTGGTGGCTTTGAGTCAGTGCATGAGGTGGGTGACCATGCGGATGGGTGATGTGTGGATGACTCGAAGCAGCAGCAGCAGCTACGGCAGCTGCTGCCAGCGTATGTGCTGTCGGATGACATGTGGCTGTTCCTGGATGAGCAGGATGGCTATTTACTGCTGGATGGTGTGCTCCGACCCCTGATTGTGACCCTTGCGATACAAGCTCGTCAACCGCCATATGAATAGCCGTAATCTTTTCACTAGGTACACTTGCCGCACAACCCATCGCCACTCCAACTGCATTTTGCTGAGCAAGCTCATCGATCGCTGCGTGCAACGCCTGAATACGTGCACCAATATCGCTCACTGGGGCACTACTCATACCGGCCATGGCACTCATACTTGTTACTGGATGTTGCACAACTCCTGGGGGAACGGGAGGCGGCGGGGCATTGACAGCCGCAGCAGCAGCCGCACTGTCATGAAGTAGCTGTAAAGATCCAGCATGACCGAGTGACAACCCCTCGGAAACCCCTGGCGGGCCGGCTGTCTGTGCCGCTGCTGCCGCAGCTGCTGCCGCCGCCGCCGAAACATGAGTGGCATGGGCCGAATGGTGACCTGGATGAGCCACTGGATGATGATGCGGGTGATGATGATGTGGGTGGTAGAAAGGGTGGACAGGAGGAACAGCGACCGGAAGCTGACTTGTTACGTGATGATGATGATGATGATGATGATGATTAATCGTTTGCGAAAATACGCTCGCCGACAGCTGCGAAACATGATGGTGTGGATGGAATAATTCTGGGCTTGTAGGTGACGCTGACTGTTGAACTGCACTAGAACCCGTACAGCTAGCGTATGGCTGGAAAAGTGTCTGTTGTTGAGATTGCTGCTGTTGCTGATTAGATTGTTCCTGCTGTGGCTGTGGATTAACGGCAGACGGACCGTTCAGGTTGCCAAGTCCCTGGCTCGCTTCGCCTTGTGAGCCGCCATTCGATGCCGTCAGTTCGCCACCTGACCTAGTCTCAGGCGCTTCATCGAACACTGGATCGATTTCTGATTCCAGGGAGTCTTCGCTTTGTCGTCCGTCGTTGTCGTTGACGTCATCAACATCATTTGCATTGTCACCACCCTCTTGCACCTCGTCCTGTTCACGGTCGGCTGAAACGCCCAGTTGACTTTGTTCGCCGGAATAGATGCCAGGTAGACTGCGAGGGGATTCCGCCCGCTCAAAGTCCCCCGCTCTAGCCCCATCGTCGGACTGTGATGCTTCTTCATCAACTGAAATCATCTGTTCCATTTGACTTGCTGAAGGTTGTCCACCCGCTTCACGCGAAGGCTCCACTTGAGTTCGCCTTCCACCATCGTCTCGAACTCCTGAATCGTCAGCTGGCCCAGAGCTGCCAGCGATAGACGCCGCGGTAATTGCTGAGCCACTGTTGGACGACTCAAATAATCCTTGGTGTTTTTCTTTATGATGACGCTGAAGATTTCCTTTCAAAGTGAACGTAGCACTGCAATACTCACAGGAGTATGGCTTGTTTTGCTGGTGAATAGCCATATGTGCACGCAGGTTATGAGCCCGCGCTAAGCCCTATGGGGAGCCAACAAAGCCATTGTTTACTCCATCTACAAGACTCAATTAAGTCATTATCTTACTACGAAAGCCGGTAATAAATTCTGTATGAGTTATGCCTGTTAACTGCTACGTACTTTAATTATTATTATTAAACAAACCTTTCCACATATCTTGCATACGTGCGGTTTGACATCCTTGTGCGAGACACTGTGCATCTTTAGCGTTTGAGGCTGGGCGAATCGCTTAGAGCAAACAGGACAAACGAATTCCTTATGGCTAGAATGTACATACAAGTGTCGTTCGAGGTTTGCCTTGATCGAGAATGTCTTATGACAGACGGGACAAACGTGAGGTCGGAGGCAGAGATGCGTCGATTGCTGGTGTACCTGTACCAACAAATTGTCACCTAGCGTTACTAACGGAGGATACAAATTAGCAGTTTTATTCATTTTACTACTTGTTATCATTGGAAGGTAATCTGTACCTCATTTTCATAATCGTGAAATAAAAAATCCCGATATTACAAAGCATTTGAATCTAGATGCTCAACAAAAGTTACTAATTTTCTATTCTAGTATTACGAAACAAAAACGGGTGCCGTGTCACTCATACCTTTAGATGATGTTCCTTCATAAAGCGCCTGTCGCATTGTTCGCACACAAACCGACGGATTTTTGTATGTTTATACATGTGTTCACGTAGCTGGCTTTGATACTGAAATACTCGGGTGCAAATTTGACAGGCGTAAGCACCAATGCCGCCAACGCCTAAAAGAAAAACATACAACAATGGATCGATGCATGGAAAATGTAAGTTCTCAAATCAGTACGACAGAACCAGCGAGATAGTTGCTTCACCAGACGCGTCTCATCTTGACTTTGACGAACCTGTGTATATGTATGAATTATCAACATTTACCGAAGACGAAATTCGTGCCAGATTTTTTTGCTCATCTACAGGGCATCTGCATCTCTCTTTATATATACATAAATGAATTACGAAGTCGACATATTAACAAGCATCTTTTATTTAATTCGTTACCATGCCACTGAAATTGTGTACGCACTTGTTAGAGAGACGGTTTCGCTGTCTATAGCGGACGAAGTATTGCCTCCGGTGGCAACGGTTAATAGTCCATTGGCAATAGAGGAGACACACCCTGCTCGCTGGCCATGGGTAGAATTTCCCGAGGCTCTTGTAGCCGATGATTTACGCTAGTATCATTGAATGAGCGTAAGTAACAGTTATTCTTCGTAAGTAACAGCTTTTCTTTGGAAACTTTATTGACGGTCGATATCTGCACATAATTATTTGCGAGACATATAAACTGTTACGTCGGAAAAAATGGTTCTCATAAGACCTATATACCTGCTCTCGATTGTAGTGCTTATTGAGGTGAGCATTAAGGTCCGAGGGGAACGCAAATCGTCGAGGACATAAATGGCAGCTGGAATACGCGTACGTTATGAATAAATAAAGCTTACTTCGTATTAGGTTGGTAAAATTCACTGATGCTCTGTGCCTTGAATCGACTAGGAATAGAGAGGGACGTCGGTGTGTCTCATGACTTCACGAATCACTAATAAAGAGGTTCTATGAAACACGAAGCGTACCTTTATATACCCTATATTTTCAGTAAGGCATTAGTTCCTCAATAATGAAAGTTCGCTAGTAATACTTGTGAAAGCGCGTTATTTCAGAGAGATCTATCGCATACATACTTAAATACGTAGGACGGATACAAACAATATTGTCGTAGGGTATCTAGTGTGTAGCGAGAACAGGATGACCACGTATTGCGCAGCCATCCATACCTGTATGTGGAGCTGGATCGAAGGTGCTCGTCAGCGCAATACGTGCGATGAGTAACCAAATGTCTTTTAAGATGTGTTAGCTGACTAAACGTATGCTCACAGTATGAACATTTGTGAGGTCGTTTGCCTGTAAGGATGGGTAGGATTAATCTATTATAGATTTTGGATAGATTTTCTATATATTATGGAAGGTCAGTACGAGTTGTTACATACCTTCGTGCAAGAGAGCATGTGTATTTAGATGGGCAAGTTGCTTGAAAGCTTTATGGCATACGCTGCACTCAAATTTACGGACCCCACCTATACAAGAAACATAAATATATAATACAATATTGTTGTTACTCGATATTATATGAATATGGCAGTATTCACAAACGGTAACACTGAAATATTTTCGAAGTCATCTATATGTATGCCTAGTAAGGACGTCTTCTGCCAGCAAAATCTGAAGCAGAGAACAATGCGAATTTTTTTTCTAAGTTAGATTTTGAAAAAAGCTTATATATACTATATATATAGTGACGAAACGTATCGATAATCCATCAAGTCATTTTCATGATTAGCATCCACCATTGACCTTGAATACCATTTGCAGTAAGTTGCTGCTGCTGCTGCTGCTGCTGTTGTGTTGCTTGTTGTCTGAGTTGGGGAGAAAGCACAACGGCACCGGGTGCGCTTTGCGTTGTGTGCCGATGAAGTCCACTAGAGGTAGCCACCGAAGTGGCCAGCTGTGAATGAAGTTGTGTCTGAGTCAACTGCTGACCGGTTGAACCAACAACAATGCTGACTGAATGTTGATCCTGATTTTCAGTACCGGAGGAGACGTTCGACTCCTCCCGAGAACTTCCACTTGATAACCCGCTCAGGCTTCCACTAAGTGGGGCTATTTACACGTAGTGACCAAAGACACAAAGACCAATTCGCTAATTCAATGGATGGCTTTAAAACCAGTATAAAAATTATTTTTAATAATGTACTGGAAACGATCGTCGTGTAACTCTCAATGACTCTAGAACTACAAGAGGTATTATCGTACATAAATATGGTAGAAGCATAAAAGGGAAGGCTATATGAGCTCATTTCTGCGATTTTTTTAGGCAATACCGTATAGCAGTCTAATAAAAGTAATGAGAGCATAAAGATTTCTCAACATGTTTCACAGATGAACTTGCGGTTACACAAGTTATAGCTGTTTTTTCTTTTTAAAAACCTAATAATGATGTTTGCTGAGTGACCGCTAAATGGGTTAACGGGTTTGGCGGTTTGTTGTAGTGTGAAAAGTCGAGCAGCTGGAAGCCGTGTAAGGATCCCATGTCCATATTCCCTTTGCGCCACACACCTCGTGGCAGCGGCTCTACTCTGAACGATGATGAATCTTCTTAGTCAAACGTCTGTTTCGGTCGCCTGCAAGTGTTGCGTTATTACACAACAGCGTTCAGTTAAGCGTGTTCTAATTACAGTCGAAATAAATTGAGCATAAAATTTTCCCCGCTACATCTATCGAAATCTCGATAAGTTCGATACACTTGGACATCAGCCAATAAAATAATAACATCCCAACGATCCGCTGACTACGAATATATCTATGATAATGGCCTATACAATTTCAGTAGGGGTGTCAAGGCGTTCAGACACACAACCACTTATCAAGCAGGATGCATTTAATTAAGAGTTATTAGTAAACTGACTAACAGTTTACGATATCGAATAGTTTTTATGTGGTTAAGAGTTCTAAGTTCGTTTGCTACAACAATTGCACAATATTACACGATTTGAATGATTACATCCATATGTATTTTATTATGTCCCCAGACTGCGAATGTCTGAACCTTGCTACTGATGTACTTGAAACATGAAAAAAAAAATCCTTAATATACAACTAGAATTAAAAGCATAGCTGAGAATACAAGTTAAAGCAACACTGAGATTTTGTCGTGCAAGCAGAAGTCTACGAAACGAATATTTGTATATGACGAGATTATTTCAGACAGATTGGGGGGCGCCGTATTGAACAAGTCAATCAAGTCGATTTCTAAATATCTGTATGGTATTTATGTGGCCACATCTCGAATTATAACACATTGTTTGCCTTTCTTTTTTTACAAAGAAGCGCGAATTGTTTTAAAAATTTTGTTGATGCATGGATATTTTTGGAACGCACCGTTTCTTTGTTATAGTCGCATCGATATACCTGACTAGATGCCATAAAGCATAAAAGATGTTTCACAAAATAATGTCGTATATGTAGTCGTCAAAGCATAGGATTATATCTGTATAAAAAACATGCAGCCATTATCTCGTTTCGGGCCGAGCGCTAGAACATTAGACGAAACTGATAAGCCATAGCTGATTGATTTAATTCCATCTAAACTTCGCAGCTTTTCTTGTCAGTGTCGCTGCTAAACTACTTTAGACCAACAGATAGGGTGAACAGTAACCTTTCGAAAAAAGTCAGTTCCGGCTAGGTAGAGAGCATGGATCAGTGAATCATCACAAAGTACTTGTTTCAACAAATAAGGCCTTTCCTCTATATTAAAAATAAATGATAGAAAAAATTACGCAGAGTTGCTGTGAGAGACCCTGCTGCCAAATCTTCACATAGGAAAGTTCACATCGGCAAAAAATGGTGATCCCGTGAAGTACGGATCATATGATATCGATTACTAACAACACTGTGCAAGAATTAATTCAATGAAGATTTTATTCTTATCTTATTTTTTCAAGTCTAATGCGAATACGTGTCACTGATTATGAAAATCTAATACGCAAAATGATAGTCACCAATATTTTCATCAAGTGCATTTACTTAAATAGTGATCGGTAAAAAGATCAGCTCGAGGAAAGTCCCCCAGTACAGAGAAATATGCTCAAAGAAACAACAAGGGGCAAGAGGAACAACTGCCCTGAGGCTAGGGTCTAGAGAATATCGACAAATTCTATTCGATCATATTTTCGGTTTCTTTTATTCTGTTAGATGTTAAAAACATTTTTGACTGGCACTTTATAATAACCCCTAATTATGTAAAAAGACTGTGCTCATTGTCGTAAACGGCTCTCCAATCATCTAATGAGAAACACTCCCGCAGAAAGAAATATTCTATATCAAAGAATACGATGGGTAGGTGGTGCGAGGTCATTTACGAGTACGGCAATACCAGCCTGAATCCGCCTCTTTGAACAACTGTTTGAAGCGTGAGGCCTTATTGTGCACATAAATGCCAATTAAAGCACTTAGCAGAGCATCAGTTAGCTTTAGTACTTCCTACATTTCAAAGCCGGGCGCAGCACGGATTAAGCAGACGTGCAGGTTCTACAAAAAAAGTGTTGCGTGCACTAAATAGATTTTAAATCTAAAAAGGTTCTAAGGCCATACAATTTCGGTTTCAGATCAGTAGTTTCTATTCTTTTTTTTAACACACCACAATATCAGTTGTATCCAATTGCATAAATACGCGACTTGTCGCTTTCATTGTTTAGGTAAAGAATCAAAAATATCATTTACAGGCCTAAAAAAGATTTAGAGCTCAGCATAACGCCATCAATTTTATTATAGGTCCCGGCTTTAAAGCTGAATAAAGGTTTTAATCAAGGAAAGTCTGTTAACATGCATATTAAGAAATAAGAAAGGAATAACTCTAGTACTATTTTGAACATGAAAGAGAAAATTATTACACTGCAGATCTAGAAATTAAGTAAAAGTTTAAATGATTTATGATTTATAAGTATTGTGCATGTTGCATATGGGTGAAAACGGGAAAATTACCGTTTTTCACGCTTTCCCCGTTAAAGAAAATTCTTCTTCTTGGTCACTGTTGAAAATAATCAAAAATATTCGTTTAAACAAGGATAGAATTTATCCCGAATTGATATTCAGATGTGGATTTCTACGATGTAAACGAAGTAAAATGTGTGCTAGACTAATGAGAAAAGTATATTTATTTCCCAGACGCCGAAAATGGAAAGTCAGAAACGAATCTGACGATTATGGAGCGACATTATAATCTAAGGAACTACCATAATACGCGTAATTCAGTATATAAATATAATTTCTTTAAATGCTAGCGATAATGAGATGTCCATGACCAAATAAAATGAAAAGCAAATCCTACGAAATTCATATTCCTTTTTTGATGTCATAGCAAGGGTACGTTTCTAATGTCAATAAACATGTTGAGGAACTTCGGCTAACTGAGAATAGAAACATTAAAAAGTTATAAAGCACACTTCCGTTACTTTTCTACTAACATACTAGTTTTCGAGACATTAAGGACAAATACCATGCGTACACAAAAATATTTCGTCCAGGTCGAACGCTCAGGCTTTTAGGATTAAAGATTCTGACTTCGATTATGCTGCTATGGTAGCGCTTCATAGTGCTATTTTGGCAAAGCATACGTTAAACATTCGTGCTACCTATACATAATGACTAGACGTATGTATATATATGTATTTCTAGGGCTTCTTTTTTTACGAATGGCCTTCCGCATATAAATATCTTCTCATCTTGTCCTAAATATGACAAGTTCCGTTGCGCCTAAAAATGCTGGGTTGAATATTTCTGTACAGAACTTGGACGTAAAGGTAGGTGTACCGTCCAACTCACCTTTCATATTTCTTTGTCTCTTTGCAAACCAGAGTTATTCCGAGTTGCCTAGACATGCTTACGCATCTCCATTTCAGGCCATTTAGACCGGTGAAAACCTGTTCTCGACACAGATGGCCGGCATCAAGCAGAAGTTGATCTGTGTTTTGCTTGATAAATGAGTTGCTTCTTAGAAGCTTGCGGAGTCACACAAAAAGAGAACGGGGTTGATCTAATCGATGCAATTCCGTTCCCAGTATTTACCTTAGTGTATTTAATTTTTGTTGATCGTACCAAAATCTCTAAAACATGTGCACAATCGACTATTGGTTATCTCGGCGACCGCTTGGGACTAATGCGCATTCAAATTACACAATATTCTGGCGCTGAGAGGAGCACCTTTCAAGAAAGTTGACAACTGTTACTACTCTATGATGGTATCGGGAGCAGAGTGCAGTTCTGTGGCACTCTGCATTCGGTTCTATGTAATTTATCTGTTCTAAACACAGCTGATCGTTCCATCCGAAAAGGCGAGAGCGTGTAAGAAGGAAAGCGTACGGTAAAGCAATATGGCCGCCTCTACCTTGCAAAATAACAACAATGGGAGCGCGCGATTTCTCATAGATCAGATCACGAGATACGTTTACAAGGGAAGGGATACTTTTAGAGCGACCAAGCCTAGATCAACCTATACGAGTAACAGTGCATGTCGACAACTTAAAGCTACATTGTGTTTGATAATAAGTTAGATCTAAGGCTCAGACTAAGGTAAACCCGCAATTACGGCGAGCAACATCTGATTCCGTTGTTAAGATGCATACAGGAATACTAAATGATCTATTATTAATGGAAGGCTTTTCTACACACCCTTTGTACTGAGGAACATCCATCGTGTGTTTCAACGACGGATGTTAGTAAAAAAAAAAAAAACAATAAATTAAACCATCTTTACTTCTGGTTTACACTGTTTTTGGAGTAGACACAACGGTTTTCCAAAAAAACATCGTGACTGATGACTTCCAGTTTAAACGTGCTTCAGACATAAAAAGATCAGGCGCCTGCAACTGACCTGGTCCTTGAATTCCTGTAATTCCTCATTGGCTACTAAAAAAAAATTGTTGAACACGATTTGGATTGTTGTTAATTATGATCTCACACAAATATTTGGATATGAGGTCTGACATAAATCCCACACGCGGGACATAACTTTGTAACCTAAGCAAAAAAGCACTTGTTAACGAAGGTTGAATTGTGAAATAAAATTGTGCCTACATGTGGCGCTGTTTATTTAAAGGCCTTGAACTTCTACTAACTAATTCTGAGAACTAATTCTGAGAACAGGTAAAAATACATAAAAGCTACATGGAGCACAATGGCCATTTTGATCGCATTTTCCGAAAGGTCCCGGTCTCGTTAGGACGGCAAACAGGCTTCTATATCTCACTGGATGATCTTTGTGAATGAATTAAGCGCACTAACTAACCGCTTCGTATGGATGCGTCGCTTGCAAAATGTCCCTACAAGAAAAATTTGCTTTTACCAATAACAGTAAGGTAATTTGGTTTAATATTTAGTTCGTTACGATATAAATATTATTGCTCACAAAAACTAATAGCCCTCAGAATCAATACCGCTACTAAAATATTCTCATGTCTCGCTTGACGAAAACAGAAAATTAGGTAAAGAAAATAAATAATAATAAACTTATATTATAGAAGAACTCGTAAGGCACTTGCAAATTATTAGTGTATTCGTATAACTTGGAAATTCAAAAACGCGGCGAAAATATTTATGCTACGGAAAGCAGAGTTCAGGTTGAAACATGAGTTAACGCCAATATCATACACCATATTACACACAACGTACAATTAACGTGCTACATATTTATAAAAGCTTTGCCATTAAACTATTCTTATTAATCAACAAACGTAGTATTTAAAGTTTCTTTTTTATTTTTTTTAAATTTAAAGTTTAAATTAAACTTTTTATAAAGTTGTTAAAAGCGTTTTGGGAATCATTAAAAAGTTGAACCAGATTATCGAAGTATATGACACTGTGAAAGTCTGTGATTTTTCAAGTCGGCATCGCAGTACATCATCGAAAACGGTGAAGATTACATAGACTGATGTGTACAGCTCTGCTGTTTTCGGTTTATCGGCTTGCTTAGACAGGGTAGTTTCTGTTTGATCAGTGCATTTTGTAGATACTGTAGCTGGTGCATATCATTAGGAAACATCAGATTTTCGTCCTTATTTTTTCATCTGTAACTACGATAACACATAAGGAACTAGAATATTTTTATCGATTAAACATAACTGTTTACGTTCTTTTTGCTAATGCACGTTTCTGTTTGAATAAGCGGACCACACATACTGGAAGCACCGAATATTATAAATGCGTGAATTGTTCAATAGGAGTTGTTCTCGTACTGCAGCTTTTCATTTACTAAACACTTTACTTTTAAAAAGCATACTTGCGAACACCTAAAAAGTTAAACCTTTTATTTATCGCTTATAAACTGAGGAGCAATAAAGAATTTAAATGTACGCAAGCTTTCCATGGAACACGTAGTTTTTAATGGATGCATGTTTAACTAATCATTGTCAATTTTTATTACAAACTTATCACTACTCACTAAAAACTAGAGGGTTCTTCGTATGAAGAATATAATCGAAACATCGCGGCGAAGAACTTATTTTGTTCCAGTGAGCAAGAGTCGAGAAAAAAGCTGCCCTGTTGTACATTCCCAATCGAGGATGTAATCGAAGCGGCAATGGAACTGCTAAAAACTACTGCAGAAGCTGGCATCATTTTAAATAAACTTTCAAAATTTAAAATAAATTTTGAAAAAACGTACATATTCAACATACTAAACCGACTGACTACAAGGAAAGTTTTATTTTCTAACCGGGCGTCCGTATGATTATTATTATTCTTGAATATTTTAGATCTCTTTTTGTTTGATAAGAAAGTAAGGAACTACCTGTTTACAGCTTCTGGTGTCGCCACTGTCACACGCTAAAAAAAACAACCATATTGTATAAGCGATTTGCTTTTCTGAGAACATTAATCGGAGCGTTAAATCAAACTTGGTTGTGTTTTTATGTTGCAAACGTATTTTAGGATTTACGGGTATTGATAATTCAAATAATACAAAGGTTTCCCGTTGTTCTTCTGCAAGTGTTAATCTACAAGTGGCTATTGAAGATCAAACATGAACTCTAATAGTTTATTCCAGATATTAAGATATAGATTATCAAGAGCACACTTCTGGCGCTTCATTTACCGAATGATGAAACTAAATCGTTGATTTGGGATCTGACATATAGAACTGGGACAAATTAATACTTCTTCCAGTGTTACATACGGAATTTTTTCCATTCGGGCCTTTAATGTCTTCATATGCTATAAGATATAATACATACCGTCTCTAATACAGCTAAACTAACGTAAAACGTATTTAATGAAAAGTGTTATCTAGTTAATGTTTTTTAAGGACTGAAGACTACTTATCAGAAACCATAATACATTCGAAATTAATCTATAGAGTATCCTTTAGGTATAATATTAAAAAAGATCTAGACACATTCCGCGGTATCTGAAGTGTAGCAGTATTCCACTAATGTTAACTCTGTAAGCGAAGACACATTTCAGACTGCGCCATTAATCTTTTCCTGTTTGCTTCATACATAGATTCCTTTGATGTTTCTGTTCTATTTTTTGTTCTGTTACTTCTGAATTTTCGTGTGTTACTCGAACACTTGTCAAAATATACAATACTTACAATAAAGAAGAGTGAAGTGGCTTGGCTGAACTTATAGTAGGACAAAATGCAGACATAACATCGTAGACGGTCAACCGCTCTGTTCTCCATTCAGGCTTTCTCCAAAAATTTGGCTTGAAATAATTAGGTGCTCTTATATGTTTAACTGTTATTAACTTTACATGTTATCATAAATCTGATTACACTTAAAAGGAACCCGTATTTCGAAGGCTGTTCTTGAACTATTTTATGTTTGTATATTTCGAAAACATCTATTTCTCTAGAGAGACACATATTAGAGTGGTTATTTAATGAAGAAAATATGATTGGCTTAGAAAATCTAAAAAGCTACACTATTCACTCGTAAATATTATTCCAGTTATTTGAGTTTTTGGAAGTTGAGAAAAAATTCTTGTATTTTATGGCGAATAGAAATGTTGTGTGGTACTTCAATAATATTGACATTTTTTAGGCTTTAAAAAACAGCCAGTGGTATGGGTTCACAGCCTAAGTGACAAGCATGTAATACGGGTTTTATATCAAGCTGATTCCGTGACCTTGTTTATATAATTTTATATTCATTTACGGTTCTATCTTTAGTTGGACTTGGACTAAAAAAGCTTGTATCGTTGTTATTACGCCCAGCCTAACATAAACTGTGAGATAAATTACCAGTTATCCCATTGCAGTTACTGTCTCTGTCTCAACTAATCCGTTACTTTTTGCAGTATCATCAGTATCAGTATGGACAATTGCAACTCAGGCGATTAGTCGAATAACAAGATTACCCTTGCATTCGACAGATCTCAATTTCAATGTTGTAAAACCATAATTATGTATTACGGAATTTTTATTTTAGCAAAGAATGACCCCAGTCAAGTTTAAGCCTTTGCACGTCAACTTCCTCAAAACTTCAAAGGCATCACCAGTTAAAATGAAACCTAATTAGCTGAACAAGCACAGCTTGTACATACTCGAAAAATATATTTGGTAAAGGAATTCACCGCAGTGGTATATATACTTTTTATTTTTTCAGTGAATAATTTAATATATACCTGAAAATACATAAATCATCACACTTGAATTTCACAACAATCCGTTGTCAAGGGCAATGGCCTGTTGGAAGTACTGCGAAAAGACAAAGTACTTTGTGTTAGGAGTTGTTATACTTGTAAGAAACGGAATACGGTGCGCCAAAATTAATATAACATCTTTCTTTCCTGAAGTTTTTGCTTGTAACACAGGCTCCCACGTAGGATGGAACAGCTGGTGTCAGTGCACTTCGCGTCTTCAGGAAGAACCATTGATCTTATAAACAGCATGCTATCACTAACTGAGAAGCGAAAGTATAGTCGCAGACTAATTTAGCTACATTTATGATTATCATAAAAACCAATGTATAATTAAAGAGCTATCTGAGAAGCAGTGACCTAAAAACGATACACAATTATATTACTAAAAGTAACTGTGGCATACGCTGTGCATACATTGGACGCTCAGACGGAACATTACGACAAATGATCGCGAAAACGCACAAACATTTAGTATTTTTATCAAATATACATACCCGTCGAACGATAAATCACTGCGGTGCTTTTAAAAGGCCCAAAAAGTTTAATTTACTGTCTGTGATGAGGATGTCAATAAAAATACTCGAGCACGTGAAGTAACTGCAGTCTAAAACTATTGAAGCCCCGGCAAACGTTTGTTATAGTCATTTATAAAGCTAAAAATCTCTATATGTATTTCTATATCACAAATTTTCATGCGACCTATTCTCAGTACTCTAGTCGGGCATATTTCATAGAGAATAGTGTGCCCAAAACACAAGACGAGATTGAATGTTGAACCTACCAACAAAAGGAGTGTTAGTAACTGTTGTAGCATGCAAACTGTTGCAAAGATTGTTTGTGCGATCAAATTCGAGAGCGTTAACAAGCAACAATTGATATCTGATGCTCAGTTCGCCTAAAAACTGGGCATCGATCTGCAGCTATGGGAGACAATTCGAATGGTCAAGGTTTATCAACATGTCTCAGTGTCTTGACGTGTAACTCATTCTGTCACTGTTAAGATGCCGTCTCACATCGGCCTCTGTGTCGACTGTTGCAAACTAAAACTGGTAAGTTGCAATCTACCTCAGCGACTATATCCTCCGTGTCAGACTCAGCGAAACGTCGTCATGTACCGCCATCGCGGTTTGTCCTTAAGGTTAAATCTCAGAACCTCACATGTGTTGTATATAAATTCAATGATCTAAATATTATCGTAAAAATCTATGCAGATGGTGTAAGAACATCGTAAGCGTCGATGAAGACGATGACGGCTTGCAGTTACAAAGCAAGTTTTTGAAATGGGCTAATAGATTAGATGTAAAAGCATCGATTTCTACAATGTGGTGACAATCCCTACGACAATACCCTATACCGTGACGATGTTTAACTATTGACACACGTCTTCTTGTTATTTACATAAATTAGACTTAACTTTGCGAGAACTATAGCAAACGAAGAAGATTATGTTCTGATTCATCGCCGGTACATATAGTGACAGAATGTCCCGTAAGCCAGTTGTTATTAGTCTGTGACCAATCTACTGGTTTTCATTAACACCGTTCAATGGCTTTTACTGAGATGCAAGCGTGCGGTAACTCCGCACTCGATCTCCAACCTAAGTCTACGTTTCGATTACCTGAATGAACATAACCGCAGCACAAAGTATTTCCATGGGAAATAATTTCGTTTTTCTCACCAACTAGGAATAAGCGGCTAAATTATGATGCATCCGCTGTATTACTGTGTGTTGTGTCAATATATCGACTTTTTCTTGTCTTGTAAGCGAAAAGAAGTTAATAAATTCTACTGTTATATCTGTACACGGCACAGTAGGCGATCAAATGCTTCGTAGGAAAAAAATACCTGGAAACACTTGTTTAGTTTACAGGGCTCTAAATGCTGGATGTGAATAGGTCATAAACTGAGAATGTTATAGAATTGCCGACAACCTACTAAGGTTCCCACAATTCATTTATATAATAATAACAAAGCTAGTTTTTGTAATCGGGACTATCGTACCAGTTCCCCATTTCATATATGGCGTAATCTGCTTACGTATCTAATTTTTTAACTGGAAATTCTCTTCATTTCCGACTTTACGTTTTCCACCATAATCGACCTTCGAATCGAGGTATACCTAGAAAAATTAGGCCTTGACATTATTGTTGTGAGAGCTCAAAAAATTTTGAGCATATAGATACATTCACCAACCACTTCACAAGCTGCATTTGTACGTGCTTTACTTTGCACATTTACATTACCTCTGACTGAGCCGGTTGTTGGTTTTCTTTTTTGCTGTGCTGTCAAATGACTCTTCGCAAGAAGCATGCCTTCCTTGAAGAAATAGCTTCTGTACAGGCTCCTCGTAATCCTTCATTGCAAAAACGTAGGCAGCCTCTTAGCCAACGGCGCCCGGAGAATGGGTTGAAATCTGTTGTTCAAACAAGTCAAGATCGCATGCTAAGATTCCAACAAACCCGACCCGTTTACGAAAAGGGACCTGTGGCCAACCGTGATGCACTCGAAGAAGTCGTGAAACTCAAAGCCCTTGTCCACATCATTGAGGGAGATCATGGCTATTGCGAAAAACCCCAAGGTCACAGGATCGCCGAAGAAAATAAGGCAACCGACAACATCATGCAGAATTTTTAAGCTTATCATGAAGGGTGGACCTGACCTCAAGTGTGACACTGTCCTGCCTAACGGAATCATAGCATGGCTCACCTAAGATAACAGTACGAAATATACAACTATTTCAATTTTTAGGCTTCTGAGACGCTAATTTTTGTACTGCAGTTTTCGTGAAATTACCTGTATCAATAATGTCAGTTGTTGCTATTACTTCCTTACACTACTTTCGATGCGAAATAGTTCTGGTCTTTTTTTTTTCTAGCAAGCGGAGTTCAGGTTAGAAAATCGCAACTTGAATTTGTCAAAATTGCCAACTATATACATTCATCGATAAATGAGTATTTTATGGTAATCTTTCGAAAAATGTTAGGGTGCAGAAGTGTTGGCCAGGCACACGGCAGTTGAATCTTGTTAAAATAAGGCTACATCTGGAATATCCGTATTGTTTTTGTTTCAACGAGAACTGGTAGTACTGCCTACAACATGCAACTCTTAATACAAAATTAACGGGTGATAATAGAAATATAGCCTTGTAATTTTGGTTTATTGAGAGAGAAAGAGAGATATTGTGTGTGTGTGTGTATANATA